TGAGAAACTAATCATTTATATCTATGCCCCCGTAATCGAAGAGTCGTGGTGTATGGTTTTTGCCCTGTCCGCCTCTCTTTCCCTGTGTTTGTCTGTTTGTCCAAAAACAAAATTTAACCTTGTCCATCGAGTGGATGGAGCTATAGCTTTCATATTTCATAGGTGTATTCCTTCTGACAAGAGCTTTCTCCGGTTACCACCAAATGTAACCTCTTGACCACTAAACCATGACCCTTGAGTTTGACCCACTATAACAAAAAAAATCCCAAACTTTAACCTAGTCGATAACTATTTAATAGTTGGTGCTAGGGTTTTCATAGGGGCTTCATTGTGACAAGACCTTTCAATGGGTATAAATATTTTTTACCTTAGAGTTTGACCTTTAACATTTGGTCATAACTATTGAATAGTTAGTACTAGGGCTTTATTTGTACTTCACAGGTGTATTCCTTGTTGCAAGACCTTCATTTCCATACCAACAATTTTGACCTTGACCTTGACCAAAATGCATTTCAAAACTTCAACCCTAGGTATAAACACCCGTACGCGGGCATCAGTGTTTCACAAACACATCCGATACATTGACGTGTAAAGCTAGATTTGATCACTTCTTTTAGCTCCTCCCTTTTTCTTGGGGGGGGGGGGTTCAAAAAATTTCAACACACTCTATCCAAAAAGCTTGCATACCAATGTCATTCGCCTTTCATCCTTGCATTCTTGTTTTAGGGAATTACTGATTTATTTTGAAAAAAATCCTATGTACTAGTTATCCATTTTAAGACTTGATCCCGCTTTGTCTTTTGGAGCCAGAATTTGAACAAAGTTAAACTGAATTTAGACTTTACCTGAGAATTCTCATTGTCGCTCTGTTGGTTCGGGAAGATTGTAAAACATTTTGGCTTATCGTGGCTACAACCTACTCCAGGAGGTCAAGTTTTGAACAAGCTTAAATACGAACTACCTGGAGATGCTTGCATATCAATATGACTGAAAATAAATTTGCTGTTCTGGTTAAAAAAAATCTTTAAAGTTTATACCCCTAGTCAGTAAAACCTCCAAATATGAGTCAAAAGCACTTAGTAGAATCTGTGCTACATGTAACTTTTTTCGAGTTCACTATTATATCATATATGATATATTATATATCGAATCAATAAATGGGTGAATCGTATGGAGATAACGAAGAGTATTCAAGATCAAAAGTCCATAAAACAAGGTATATATTGCTGTATAAGTAAGGAAAGTTGACGATAGAAAAGTTTAAGTCATCACGTTTATCAAAGAGTTTGGTTGTTAGATTACCATTAACGTCTTTTTCAAGTAAAATGTCCAAATATGAAACAGTTGTGTCAGACTTTGTGGTATCTTTTATCTCAAGCTCACCGAGATATATCGTATCGACATAAGGAATGGAAGTTACAATTGTTAATTGACAATACGTCGTCGATTTATCTAAATGTCGAGCTGAAGGCCACAGCAAGTGTATTCGTCTTTTCACGCATAAGACTTTGCACATATTGTGCTTCATTTGAATACAAAAATAGGTTTGTTAACAACGGGGCGCAAATTGTACCGATGGGGATTCCAATAGATTGTTGGAAGACCTGGTCTCCGAAAACAACATACTAGTAGATACTGTCACTCAAAAACTCAAGCATCTTTTTGATCATAACTTCAGAGTACTTGTGTGAACAATCAGAATGTATTTAACGAAATAATTCTGCAAATGTCTAATGAAAAGGTAAGGAAATCTACGAGTTCTATTTTTATTGAAAAGGCAGCTGTCAATGATATCAAAAAGTCTGAACTTTGATTTATCGTGGGAAATGCTTGTGTATAAAGTTGCAAAATCGTAAGTTTTTAAGGTGTTGATTTTTATAAAATCTTGTTATTTCAAATTGTTCAAAAGTTTCTTGGAAATTTTAAGTATCCACATTTGATTTAAACCACTTCTTGAATATATTATTGCACAGTCCTCTTGCAGTTTCTCCTTCACTACTGTTAATATCTTAGTAAGTATAAGTAAGTAAGTATAAATAACTAATGTTACTTAGTGGTTGAAAAAATGAATTTGATTTGAAGTCCACATTAAATGTTTCCTTCTTCTGATCGTGCTAGGACGATTTTCTCCTTAGTTTGGATTTTCAGTAGGACGTGGCATTCTCAACGCTACGTAATGGCGAATACTAGTAGATTCTCATTAGTTAAGAAATCAATAACATCAGGTACTTAAAATTGTTGTTGACAATGATGAGACGACTTATGCCCCATCTCTATGCCGTTAGAGAATTTTTAGTTGGTCATTTACTACACCAGTTGACATTCTGAAGTCCAAACTAAGCGTGTAATGGTGTTAAATATTTCAAATATTAGCTATATCTTTTCTGCCTCAGTGTTTCGTTTAAATTATTCACCAATTTCACGATTTCTTACTATAAGAAATCTCCCTTTGAAAGATGGGTGGATCAACAGATCTAATAGATCCCCCTTTACAAAAGGTACCCGGTGCAAATCTTGATGGAGATTGGTCTAGTCAAGTGATTTCGGAAAAGATATTGAAAATATAAAAAGTTTACGACGTTGTTTCGGATGGAAAGTAGTGATAAACAAAGTCAAATTTCGATCAGAAAAACTCACTGGAACCTTTGGTTCGGGTGAGCTAAAATAAACAAATTCTGAAAACCTTTTATGTCATTTCAGAAAGTTTTAGGTTCCATCAAAATTACGCAACCGCATTTTATCTTCCGCTGTACACAATAAAATCATATCATTTTATCTAACTCCTATTTTTCGGAAGATGGAGGTTCGATGGAGTGGACTTTTATCCGATGTAATGACAAAATATCCCTGGAATTGAGTTCCTCCTTCAGATAAATGTGTTTTGGTGTTGTTTGCACTTCATATGTCTTCTTAGAATAAGGTCGATAGGATGGAATTGATACACGTGGACTTTGATATTGGCCAAACGCTGATATTGCATTACACAGGAGAGCAAGAAGCTGTCAGCCCCTCAACGAGAAGCAAGTAAGACCAATGTTGAGGAAGAAATCAATTCATTGAAAAAAAGTTTTGCTGAAAAGATTTATCCTCATTTCTTCGAGCTTCCTTTTTCTTCTCATATCTGATGTTTTCGTGATTTGGTGGTCTGTCTTTAATTTGCCTTTTCCATTCAAGACGGATCAGATATCCAAGATTTAGAAGTCAATTAAAGGAATTTGCGCATGCTAAATCTAAGGAAATGCAAAATATGTTCTTTTTCAGTTATGCAACTATTTGAAATATTGACTTCTTTGCATACGAGGACCTTTAAGTTTTTATATTGTTAGCCCACGACATTCCGCAGTGGGGACAAATGGTTAATGACGGTGATCAGGGAAACCCTAACCAATATTTCCATATTCATACCCTTAAATTAACAGACCACGTACGCTCTCTTCAAGTTATACGCTTAAAACACGAGACAAGGACGCATTGCGCTGGTTAAATTAGGTTTCATTAAGACCAACTGGGGGATCAAAAACACTTTTAGAAATGTTTAATTAATACTTCTGAAATGTTAAGATTTTTCTTTTTACCCCCAAATATACGAAACTTTTATGAAACCTTTCGTGTCCAGGTTTGGGAATTCTATCGGTCTCTTAATTAATTCAGTAAAATTATATGGCGAACTTAGGAACTTGTAAATGTCTTCCAAAGTTTCTAGAAACGGTGAAAGGTGTGTGGGATTCTCAGACGGTCAACCCCTTTTCTTCATCCGCGCGTCGAAGGCTCAGGTGAGTTTTCCTGATTAGGTGAGCAACGTTACCTATCGGCCTCTTGTTTTCATATAATCTTTTTGATTAATTCTCGTGGAAGTCCTTTCTCTACTCCTAGCTATTTTGTAATATTTTTTTTAACTTTTGAGCTCGAATATTGTTCAGTGTCTCCACATATTTCAGGGTATATCAATAAAATCGAGCAGCAGACTAGATGATAAAATTAAAAAAGAAATCAACGAGAATCCACTAAAAAGATTACATAAATATTTCCAAAAATTAAAAAAAGAACAACTGCATTTCGAACTCAGAAAGGCACTTACTCCAAAGCAACTACTAAAAAGTACACCTTGTGGATGTAAATTGGGTGTTATTAATATATAACGACACGTTTATGATATTCAAATCTTAGCGAACAAATGGAAAACTTGTTTTAAATAACATTTTCATATGGCAAGCCCTTTTACTATTTATTCGGAAAATAAAATTTATCTTCAAATTACAGAGATATCTCTCATTTTAGAGAGATATCTCTTAAAAAATAAAGATATCTCCCAACTTAAAAAGATATCTCTTATTTTTAAGAGATATCTCTATAAGAAAGAGATATCTCTTTAAGTTAGAGAGATATCTCTTATACTTAAAGAGATATCTCTTTCTCCTTGAGAGATATCTCTTTCGTGAAAAGAGATATCTTTGAACGTTAAAGAGATATCTCTTTCATCAAAAGAGATATCTTTTTCAGAGAGAGATATCTCTTTCACTTTGAGAGATATCTCTTTAAGTAAAAGAGATATCTCTCTAAGTTTATCATAAGAGATATCTCTCAAAGTGAAAGAGATATCTCTCAAAAGTGTCTTCAAGAGATATCTCTCAAGCAAAAAGAGATATCTCTTTATTGCAAAGAGATATCTCTCTTCATTATTTTTATTTAAATTCCATTTTAAATTACTTCTCCCTTTACCGGAAGTATTTCAAAAGCTGAGAAAACTCGGTCCAGAGTCTGAAAGTGCTTATCACGTAACTCGCGGGGTTCCTCACTTCCGGGGGTACTTAACACATGCCTGACATGGATTTGTGTATTGAGTTTAGCATGTTTCTGGTTTACGCAAAGCTTTCGGGGAATGTTAAATAGTTTTACTTTAAAAGTGGAATGTGTAATGTCTCCGAATCAACTATGTACGAGTTAACTTTTTGTTTTGTTTATTTCAAGAGTTATTTCCCCTAGTTTTGCAAGCGCCTTATTTTTACACGTGCAATTGGATTGTGACTTTGTAGCCCTATAGTGTAAGTACACTTTCATTTGATATAATATTAAGATCTAAGAAATCATGTGTTAAAACGCAAACCTTGTAATGTCAAATGTTTCAGCAATTTTAAGTATTATTTTTGCATTGTCAACATGACCTGGTTTTTGTGTAAGGCTAAGCACGTGGTTTGTGTTCAGATCATTTTCGGAGATTTATACCATCTACTAATCTAGTCACTGTATGTTCTACTCGAGTATGTATATTTATAAGGATAATTTGGTGATTTCTTGCCGATTTATTACTACTTTCTTGTGTTTATTGTTTAGTAGTAGATCGCTGTTAAAAGTAAAAGTATGGAAACTCGGTTCGGTCAGAAATGATACATAATATAGTCAACATTTTATGTCAGTCATTTTGTATGTAATTTCTAATCACTTTTTATGTAATTTACAGTCTTTTACGGCACCAATACTGAATAAAGGAGATGAAGCCTTCTCAATAACTGTTCCAGTATAGAATGGTTTATCGACTTACGATGTCATAAAAATTTGGGTGCGAGTGTCCATCAGGAAAATTTTGATCGAAGTGCAGGTAAACATATCAGAGTGTCATCCGTTTCTTGTTTATTTTGAGGGAAAATTAGGTGTTTTATTTTCAGCCGAATGAAATAGTTTTGTAATCATCTTTTGCCTTAATATGTTTACAGAATTTTCTTGAATCCGAGTACGATAATGTTTTTATCAGCTGATTGTAGAGGAGGAGTTTTGTCAGTGTTAGATGGGTACTAATGTCATCTTGTGGCTGCATCCCTTTTGTTGGGGTAAATATTTTTTTAATATACTTATTTTTCAGTAAAGTTTTACCTTTCGTATGTCTGTGGATTATCTTTTTGTGCATTAAGATCTATATAGATCTATTTGAGTATTTCACGAGAGTTTCTGTTCATATTTTTTGCCCAAAGGGACTTGTTTCAGTACTAAATTTTTAACCCACAGTATACATATTATAACACAAGGTAGCTCGCTGAGTGAAAACTTAATCATGGAACGGTTTGTGCTGATCCCGCACAGAGATTTTGATTGGATAAAAATCTGTTTCTAAAATTACATCAGATAAACATCTTAATGTTTTCAGGTAAAGTTAGACGTAAACAAGTTCTATTTACTCACTTCAATATTTAAACAAAGGAATTTTTTTTTAAACCACTGATTTTTTAATTTTGCTCTTTGCCCGAGACTAGTACATACCATTCTATGGTTGAGTTTGACTTTCCACCCAACAAGCAGAGTTTGGACACTGATTATGGAGATACAAGAAAATAGAGACAAGCATGCCATATTATATGGGTGTGTAGATAAATTATCGTAGAAGAAATAGGTGTAAAAAGTTTACCCGTGCATTTCCTCTTAAAGTGTAAATGAGCATGATTTTAAGGGAGGGGGTACTCCCTGTAATTTGGAGTTAGATACCTTGTGTTATTATTATACTTTAGGTCAAAAATTTATTACAGAAGCTGCATTTAACAAACTTCAGATCTCTTAACATGACCATATTTCTCACTTTAAAGACTGAGAGTATGTTCCCTATTTATAGAGCATGGTTTAGGGATTTTGAAATTTTCTGTCTTTTCAAATTCATCCGCATAGCACAGTGGTTAGAGCGTCTGCTCTAGAGTCGCAAAGTAAGGAGTTGATCCTTACGTCTTGGGTTTGAATCTCACCGTGGGATGTGGAGACTTGTCCTTGGAATGATACAGTATAAACCGTGGCCCAATATCACAGTAGATATTGGCTCAAAAAAGATACCTTCCTGCTTAATGGCCCTGAGTGCCGAACATAGGACAAAATTTGCAGCTCTCCACCGGTGTTTCCATATGAGTGAAAAATTCTTGAGAGGGATGTTAAACAAATCTGTCTGTTGAATTAAGTCATTGATATTAAACAATTGTATACATTAAAACTTATTTTATAGCAGAGGTACAAGAGAACCATGCAGTAACACAGATAAAAGATGCAGTTCCTAAGAGATCCAAAGTCGCAGCTCCTAAGGCTATACTGACTGAATTATCAACATCCAAAACAAATTGATACAAATCAAATACAGGTATGAAATTGATGCAACAAAAAAAAGTTCTAGGACAAATATTAAATTTATTTTTTGTAAGACATGGCATATCAAAAAATGACAAAAAATTCTGTGATGTCCAGGGATGCTTTACTCCCACCCCACCTCAAGGTTTTAGACATAGACCCCTTTATTCAACTTTACTGTCATCTTACCTCACTATAAAAATAGGGTAAAATACCCTTTTTTACAGATTAAATGTATAATAATTATATATACATGTATGGATTTTTTTTACAAGATGACTATTATACTAGTCAACATTGGCCATCTTTAAAAATGTTTGTTTGATGTAGTTCTACCCACTTTTATCAAGATTGGTAGGTAGGTATCAATAGTTTTTTTTTTCTTCTTTTGCCTTACAGTATTGAACAAATTGATAACTGTCATATTTGAAACCATGCTTATACTCAGAAATCTGTTGATATTTTCATTACTATCTAGAAAGACATAAATAGAAAAAGCATCCTAAAAAAATTGATACCTTATCTTTAAAACATCTATGGAATTTAAGGGGGGAAAATTGAAAATTTTGAAGTGCCCAAAAAATGATTACTAATGGGTAGGGGCCATTTTAACAGGTCGGTCAGAGTAAAACAAATCTGTTTTTTATACCCATTTGTCCATCTGTCTAGCTGTCCATCTGTCTGTGCAAATGTGTCCGGTCCATATCTTTCTTACTTAGGGACTTTAGAATCTACTACTCCATGCAAAGATTGCCCATGACCCAAGGGTGTTTCATGACCTTGACCCAAGGTTTCATTTCAGGAAGTTCAAGGTCATTTGAAGAAAAAGTTCATAATTTGTGTCCGGTCCATTTCTATCTTATTGATAAACTTGGTAGGTTCTCATTTCACACAAAGATTGCCCATGACCCAAGGGTGTGTCATGACCTTGATCCAAGGTCATTTGGGGAACTTTAACTAAGGTCACTGGAAGAAAAAATTCATAAATCATGTGTGATACATATCTTTATTATCGAAAAACTTAATTCTGAAAAACCCAGCGGGGGGTATTTTGTCCTGTTTGGAAAGTTCTAGTTATTGTTGGCCTGAAAATGCAACAAATATTTTTATGCCTCCTTAGAAATTATTTTTATGCCCCGCCATGAATATGGCTGGGGCATATAGTCCGCCATGAATACAGCTGGGGCATTTAGTGTTTGTCATGTCCGTCTTTCCATCACACTTTGCGTTTAGCATTGCTCAATGCTCATTTTCAAAGAAACTATCCAAGATAATTATTTTCATCAAACTTCATAGGCAGATAGATGTTGATGAGATCTGAGTAACTGCATCAACATTCTTTGACCTTGACATTTCCTTTGACCTTGACCTCACTTTTCTTAAATTAGTGTTAAACTCAGTTTTTAAGGATACCATTTAAGATATTTTGATCAAACTTCATATGTTGATACAGTGTACACGTGTTCTGATGAGAGCCATTCAATTGCATCAATATTTTTTACCTTGACTTTTCCTTTGACCTCACTCTTTCTAAATTAGTGTCAAACTTTATATGCTAATACATACTGATGAGAGCTATTCATTTGCATCAACATTTTGACCTTGACCTTTCATTTGACCTTGGACTCACTTTTAACAAATTGTGATTAAGTTAAATATAAAGAAACCATTCTTTATATTATTTTTCAAAGGACAAGTGCACTTAAGCAATGCTTAATGGGCCCTTTTTATGTGCCATTTTAATTTAGAATATATGAATAAATCGTTCTCTTTTGGAAATTAAAAAGCACAATAAACATCTCCTAGATCAGCGTGGATTTGAAACAATTGAATATTTTTAAATGCCTCTGGATACCCTAAATCCGGAAAAGTCGTACCGAACATTCTTTTAGTTTCGTTTATGTAAATCAAGGCGAAGAGATATTTAAATCGACACTTGAACAATCTGATGGCGGATCATAGTCCGGCGCATTTGTGGAATGTAAATTCTTGTGCTAAATCTGTTTTTAAAAAGTGAATGAAGTTGTGTAGTTGCCTGTTGCCACAACAATCAAACTAAGAATTGGTACTCTTGCATTTCAAAAAAAAAAAAAAAAAAAAAAACAATAAAAGATTCGTTGAATTTGAAATCTATTATAAAAGGAGTGATTAGATGGCTTTCAATACCTGTTTCATTGTCTTGCTTAAATGTTAAAAACGTTTAACACTTTTATGAATGGTTCTAAACTCTCTTTACCATCCAGTGTTCTTCAAAATAAATACATACAAATATCCCAACGGCTGCGCGACTTTGACTAATTGATACAAAACCTGCGGATGTTTTACAGTGAGCAACTTTGAGGAATGTTTACCTGAGTAGAACTCACGTGACTATGAGTATTTTAAATAATTTATTCCACACGTGGGTTCAGCATGAGTCATAAAGTTAAATAGCTATCACTTGCTATAGGGAAAACATTGTACTTTTTGTACATTTTTAATATTTTAAGCACCAGCCTAATCGTGTACAAATTTCCTACTTTCACACAAGTTTTATAAATGTATTATGCGTCTTTTGTCATTCGCACAAGTTTGTACAAAGTTAGGCTCATAGTAAACAAAAGCTATAAAATGAATGACCCTTCTTGATTTACAATAGAAAATTACAAATGTCGGCTGACCCCTGCCACTTTTTTTTGGTTTTGTTCTTTGTATATTCGTGAATTTCAGCGGTAAAATTTGTTGAATCGTATGGTTTAGATATCAATTAATGATTTGAGATGAAAAATTTTGCTTAATTTGATTGTTTATTTTTTCACATTTTACCGGGGCCCATAAGTGCACTCGTTCTTTCATATGCTGATACATAATGATGAGAGCTTTTCAACTGCATTAACATCTTCGACATAGGTCCTTCCTTTGACCTAGAACTCGCTTTTCTCCAATAAGACAATAAGCGTTAAAACTTCATATGCTGAATTGCTGATGCATACTGATGTAACCAATTCAACTGCATCACTTTTCAAGATATTCTGAAATTTCACACAGTTACACAAATTCAAATTTTCATGTTGCATTACTGATATACCCTTGGTGGGGCATTCATGTTCTATGGACATATTTCTACTGGTCTTTTTTGTGAATAATGATGCATTTACGAAGAAGAATTTCCATTCTTTTTCTGAGGTTGACTCATCTAGTAAAGTTTCCCACTTTTCTTTTTATATGCCCAGATCTGAGGTGCTTTTGTCCTGTCTGTTGGCAGCTTTAACCTCTGCCTTAACTTTTGAACCATGAGAGAGACTTCATATTTAATATGCATACTCCACTTATTAACATCTTTCAAAAGACACCAAGGCCAATGACTTGTGACCTTGACTGTGACCTATGTGCTAAAATAGCTTATTTGAACATTAGCTATAACTTTTGATTCATTAGAGATAGGGACATCATATTTTGAATGCTTTCTCCACTAATTAAGCTCTATCAAATGAAACCAAGGTCAATGATCTTGTGACCTTTACTGTGACTTTATGGATCTAAAAACCATTTTGAACTTTTGCCATACATTTTGAACCATTAAAGATAAAGACTTCATATATGATATGCATACTCCACTAATTGACACCAATTTCAATGACCTTGTGACCTTGACCTATATGCTAAAAATAAATTTTTCGAATTTGTAAAAATGTCGTTGCCAGGTGCAAATTGTTTCACAAACAAATCTTGTTTTGAAGGAGTTTTAATATTTTAATTTCTGTAGAATTTTATGTTACATATAAAAACCAAAAAATATATTTAAAATCAAATCATTTTTATTTCAGTACTTTGTGACAGTGGGAAGATAGAATTTAAAAAATGGACATGGCACAATTTTCCTGCATCAGAGATCAATCCAGGTTTACTTATAATTTGAAGAAAAACAGTCAAGCATCATTTGGAGCTACATATGTCACTGCCTTAACAATATGCCGGCTTATATAACCAAGCAAGCACAGTGACCAGTTGTACCTATGATGTTGGAAGAGATCCTAAAAACCTTCCAGTACACTCATCACTACCTGCAAAGAAATAAAAATTCAAATGACTTGTATCAACATTTGTGTACATTTGTACTTCATCTGGCTTGTATTTTCAGTAATCATTAGCCTTTACACTGTTGCTTCCTTCAAACAAAATTGCATAAGTACTAACTTGCAGGTGTAAAATGTTTGAAACAGTTTGCTTCTCCCAAAGGAAATTCTCTGCCAATTAGCAGTGCATGAGCAGTTGATTGATGTCACAGTTCCACTGGCAAAATATTTGTATATAGTTGCTGTAACTACCAAATATACAAAAATTAAACTTCCTTAAATTTGTTCTTGATGTTTATTTATAGTGTATTTAAATAAGTATCCAATATTTGTTTTGTTATACTGAAGGACTGTTAAGAAAATGTTGTTCGTTGAAACAATTGTGCAAACAAGTTACATTCTGCACAGATATATACTCACCGTCAATGGAAACGCAACACCCTAATTTTAGGGTGAAAATTATATACAAGTTATAAATGTTCAAAAAAGTGACATCTTTACTTTGCCAAATAATTTAAATAATGATATACCGGAAATGCTTGTGTAATTTTCCATTTTTCATAAAATATATATATATATATATATATATATATACGGGAAAAAATCCTTCTTTCTTTACCTAATTGCTCATGTTACCAAATATGATAGCAAAAATTAATGTTTTATGAGTTATGTCAAAAGTTTAATTTGAATATCTTTAGGTGATGTTTATTTTAGTGTATTTAAATGAAAACGTACTAGTCCACAATATACAACAAATGCAGCCCGATTTCTACCATGCATTAAGTTTATTAATGTCTTAATCTAAGCGAAAATAATATTCTTAAGCAATTTTAAATACAAGTTTTTGTTATAACTGAACCTGGCATAGTGTAGCAACTTTTTGTTAAGAAAATGCTATTGAAACACATGAACATGGGTCGTTAATAGTGTATAACTAAGCTCTTTTTTTCTTTATTTTGAGAACTAGCATTTGCAATGAAAATCAGTCATTTTGAGGAAATAGAGGCATCAAATCTGGTAAAGAAAATTTTTCCCGGCCTTTTGAACAAACTTATGATTAACATATAACCTTGAAAATCCCAAATATTGTAAAAAATTTTTTTTAAATGGAAAATTTTGAATTTAGGCTAAAAAAACTTCCGGTAATGGAAAGAAATTCACTCAACTGTTAAATAACTGATTTGGCAATGTAAAAGATGTCCTAACTTTTTTGGTACATGGTTATAACCTGTATATAAAATTTCAAGTATACTTGTTAACAAATGTATTTTATTGATCAAATTTCAAATAGATGATTTAATAAGAAAGCAATGACAAATTTAACTAGAATTATGGTCCATTGATTTATCACCATGGTGTGTGAGCTTTTGTGAACTTGATACTGAACTAGTAAGTTTGAAATATTGAAGTAAAGAAAAGTGCAGCCCAAAAATTTATCCTGTACCTGATTTAAAATGAGTCCCAGCATCAATACTTGGAAGTTGCCACACTTTTCATGAGTATAAGAATTATTGGATATGCCTCAGTAACAGATCTATACTGGTACATGTAAATGAATGGCACATTCAGTCGAAGCATTGTCCCTTTTTCGGTACCCCCTGGATCCCTGTAAAATATATATGATGATAAAAGTAGATAAATGTTCCATCATAGAATGATGAATGTCCTATGGACCCAGTGAGGGCCTGTTGGAAGACACTGTTTGATTGTTCTAGCCGAGTCTGTCTCTTAATTGTAAGAGTACTAGTATTTTGGAAGGGGATCATAAGGCTTTACAGTTAATATAAATTGATTGTACATGTGTGTTGTTTAACGTCCTACAGTTAATATTGAAAATGAGTATATACATCCCTGTGTAAATTAAAAAAGGAATGTTGGACATTTTTATCTGAACTATTAACAAATTAAAGAAAAACATTCTATCAGGATTATGTTTAATCGACCCTGTATTCCCGTGATTGATGAATTTGGTCACATGCATTTCCTATTTGTTTTAATTAAATTTGCATTCTATATCCCGACTTCAGCTGCCCCTTGATCTAAATCCAGGCACGTAGCAACAAGAGGGGGGGGGGGGGGGGCACAACATTACCTCTTCTATAGAGAATGTGCATTGAATGGTTTGTTGCTCCCCCCCCCCCCACTTCTTACCACAGTATAGAATAACAATATAGTGATATCATGGAAATGTAGTATTTTATGCTATAAAAATTGGAAGTGAAAGGAATTTGGTCTTGAACAAAATTGGCCACTAACACTACCCCCCCCCCCCCCCCCCCCTGAAATAGGATTATCGAGTTTGGTCAACTTTTACTGGTAAGTATAAAAAACAAATCTCTAGTTGCGCCCCCCACCCCCCACCCCGACCCCTTTCAAAAACGATGCTATGTGCCTGAAATCAATATATGCCAATATGGAACCAATCTTTGGAGAACAATGTAGTTTGAAAACAATTTCAACTTACTTTAATGCTATAAAATGCTCGTTACCCATATGGAATAGCTTGTATGTACTGTATGTACGTAATTTACTAAAACAATAAAGCGATTAAACGTTGTTTACCTGTATCAATCAATCCATTTTCTCCTTTTTCTTTTTCAATAATCAAAAAACGAACGACTTAACAAACATTACTTCCTGTTTCGCTTTCGTTTTCAACGGGAGAATTAATTATGTTATTTTAAGGGTGATTTGAAAAGAGATATCTCTTTCATTAAAAGAGATATCTCTTTAGCTTAGAAAGATATCTCTTTTTGAAAATCTATAGAGATATCTCTCTAACTAAGAGAGATATCTCTTTTTAACTTGTTAAAGAGATATCTCTCTAACTTTAAGAGATATCTCTCTCGCTGAAAGAGATATCTCTCTAGCTTATAAAGATATCTCTCTTACAAAAAGAGATATCTCTCCATCAAAAAGAGATATCTCTTTTGTTTAAAGAGATATCTCTATTAGTCAAAGAGATATCTCTATAGGCTAAAGAGATATCTCTCAAATTGAAAGAAAAATTTATTTTACGAATAAATAGTAAAAGGGCTTGCCATATTTTCATGATATATCTATTTCTCTGAAGATCAATCAATACTGAGAGAATGACAGACTCATTAGGCACGTATATTGGGCCTTTATCTTGTGTTTTAAAGATAATACGGTTACTGGTGTTCGTAAACTAATTCTTGGCACGTCAATACTCATAACATTCAACACCCCCGTCCTAATTCGGAGGCTGTGTTCTCAAGAAAATACGCTGTTTGGAGGAAATTATCTACACTCTGTAGCTATTTCTCAAGAGACTGTTGGAGAAAGCATTAATTCTTTAGCAATTCTGTAACTGGAAAAACTGTGCTGTAAAATACGTAGTAAGATAGAGAGGGAAGGTCCCCAGAGAATAGTCAAGAAATAGAAGGGTGAAAAAATATAATGTTGTGGAGGCTTGACAAGATTCCCTAGACTGGAATGATTTTGATGAAGTTAGGATCGCGAGTTCGATTCACAACTTTTCAAGTTTTAATTTATCGAGATGCCACATGTTTAGTAAATGTTCACACACAAGGGTCATGGGACTGCATGGTTTGCATATCAGATCAGAACCACTCAATTTTCTACGTATTAGTTTTATAATAATATAATTATGTACCGATATTGCACATATGCATGCAATGAAAAGCAAGAATACTTCGAGGTTGCTATGTACAATATCACTGGTGGTTCCTGAACATTTTATTTAAGCTCAGCTCGACAAAGCCTTCAGGTGCTTGAATGCAATATTCCCAGTGTCAAAAACGCCGAAATAATTATGGCTGAAATATTTCCGACTCGGCGTAAAACAGCAATAATCAATCAATCCCAGTGTCAAATTATAGGTCAAGTTTCTCTCACGATACCCCCCCCCCCCCCAGAATTGTTGTATAGTAAAGCTCCCTCTTGTGGAAGGTGCCTCCTCCACAATTTAGTAAGGTTTATTTATATTGTAATTTTACTCAGTATAGAAAATTACCTACTCCCACTGATTCCTGATTGCAATTTATATACAGCGGACCCTTTTAAGTTTTATTTAGACTATGCAAATTATTACATTTTGGGGACTATGGCACTCGTGGGTTTGCAAAAGCTGGACGCTTATTCAAGAAGCTAGACCCTGTACGCCTCTTTATAAAGCCCTGCAGAGAAACATTTGAAGGTTATTTCGGTGATAACTAAACGAAGTATCTATTATAATATCACTTCCTGGTACGAATTTAAGTCAACAAATCACAATCCCAAATAACTGTACCAGTGATAATAAACAATAAATCGCTGCATGAGTGGGAGGAAAAATGAGACAAACGTGTATTTTATATCTCAGCTCAGTTTGTGGAAGGAATAATGAGACAAACGTGTATTTATATCTCAGCTCAGTGTATGGAAGAAATAATGAGATAACCGTGTATTTTATATCTCAACTCAGTGTGTTGGAGGAATAATGAGACAAACGTATATGTTATATCTCAGCTCAGTTTTGGGAGGAATAATGAGATAATCGTGTATTTATATCTCAGCTCAGTTTGTGGGAGGTATAATGAGACAAACGTGTATTTTATATCTCAGCTCAGTGTGTGGGAGAAATAATGAGATAACAGTGTATTTATATCTCAACTCAGTGTGTGGGAGGTATAATGAGACAAACGTATATGTTATATCTCAACTCAGTTTTGGGAGGAATAATGAGAAAACCGTGTATTTATATCTCAGCTCAATGGTGGGAAGAAAAATGAGACAAACGTGTATTTTATATCTCAGCTCAGTGTGTGGGAGGAATAATGAGATAACCATGTAATTTATATCTCAGCTGGGAGGAATAATGAGATAACCGTGTATTTATATCTCAGCTCAGTGTGTGGGAGGAATAATGATATAACCGTGTATTTTAAATCTCAGCTCAGTGTGTGGGAGGAATAATGAGATAACCGTGTATTTTATATCTCAGCTCAGTTTGTGGGAGGAATAATGAGACAAACAAGTATTTTATATCTCAGCTCATTTTGTGGGAGGAATAATGAGAAAAATGTATATGATATATCTCAGCTCAGTGTGTGGGAGGAATAATGAGATAATCGTGTATTTATATCTCAGCTCAGTTTGTGGTAGGAATAATGAGACAAACGTGTATTTTATATCTCAGCTCAGTGTGTGGGAGGAATAATGAGATAATCGTGTATTTATATCTCAGCTCAGTTTGTGAGAGGAATAATGAGACAAACGTGTATTTTATATCTCAGCTCAGTGTGTGGGAGGAATAATGAGCCAAACGTGTATTTTATATCTCAGCTCAGTTTGTGGGAGGAATGAGACAAACGTGTATTTTATAACTCAGCTCAGTGTGTCGTAGGAATAATGAGACAACCGTGTATTTTATATCTCAGCTCAGAGATCTAAGATTCTCTCATTGCATGGAAGTATTGGTGTTTTAATATAGAAAAAAAAATTAATAATGATTTTTAAAATTTATTCAAGATCAATCTACAATCATAACAATTTATAATTATAGCAACTAAAACGCTGTGAGTGGTCTGAGTTTTACCAACAAAAATAGTAATGTTTCATGTGTCCGAACGTTTGAATTACATGATACCCATTGCTGAAAGTACCATAATTAAAAACATTAAATTTTAGTGAATATCTTGTATTATTTTGATTTTTTTTAAACAAAGGTAGAGTTCTATAAAAATGATTGCACAACTAATTATCAACATTTGATCAAATGAATTAAACACATATAACAATGTCATTAGAAGCTGCTTATAACAATGAAATAACATGTATGCAGAACATAAAAACACAACATGTAACCATTTATATAAAATACGAGATTTGTTGGTCAGTAAAACTCAGTAATAATGAGGTCCTGTGGACCCGCAAATTGACTTTATTATCCATTTAATCAGTTTGGGTTATGTATATAAAGGAGTCTGCAAACACTACATATTCCTTCAAGCATGGCTTCCAAACTCAAGATTTTGTGTGAATTTAATTTAACAAAAAATAATGCTTACAAAATAAAAATACATCAGTTCATCATTAAAAACATATTTAATCCTAAGAAATTTATCAAAAAGGATGTAAATTTTTAAAGTTTGTTATAACCATAAATTAACAAGGAATTGTTACAAATTCTGTTGAAGTTAACAATAAAAAAAACAACATTTTAATATCCTAAATGTCCTATTAACTGGTTCTTACTACACCAGTTTAACTGTACAGTATTATATTTTCATCATTAAAGATAGATATATCTATATTTTTAGAAGAAATGGAATACGGTAAATCTATTTAACGAAATCCCTGTACCAGATTCATTGTTGATTTTATAAACTCCTCAACAATTCTAGATAACTACCATACATATCCATACATTAACTCATTAATTTGGCAGTAAACCACATATTCATTCATACTGTACTCATGATAATTTGTAGTTAACTAGTATTAATATTTTCGGGAAAAATCAGAATATACAACACATAATCACAAAACTAAGAATAAAAAAGGGCTGCTTCATTATGAACTGTACTGTAGTTAAAAAGTTTGCAAAATATGGTTTTGCTGCAAAGGTGCAGCCCACTGTTATAACAATATTTAGCATATTTTATTGTGTTTGTGTTTATTTTGCAGGTATCACCTAAGTACAATAAATGACAACAAAATTAAAGTACATTCATCATATTAACACATCACCAAGCAGTAAAAACTCAAGCAGTAGTTAATTTAATTATGTTTGCTGATGTTCTATCTGATTTCATATGAAAAGTATATGAAAAAAATATGTATAATAAAAATATTTCTTACATACAAATGTACATGCATTTGTAGATTTTCATTCAATATTTCTATTTCTACATAGCTTAAAATCAGACATTTGACTTCCAAACAAAATTAAACACACCTTTATAAAACATTTGCTTAAGCAATGCAATTTGATTTTTAAATAAGAACGTATTCATAAAAATCCTACTAATCACCAAATCATGATCTAATCAATAAACGGCATAGCAAGTTTTTTTTTTTATAAAATGATATTGTCTATGATTGATAAAAGCGTTTAATTTACAAATAAATTCCATATTGAAATAATTATTTAGGACACAAAACAGTATGTTGACCCTGATTACCAAACACAGTAACTTTGGTAAGAGTTTAAATGGAACATATTCATAAAAATCCTACTAATCACCAAACTGTCGATTGTCTACATGATTATTTTACTATAGAAACTGTTGATTTCTACATTTATTTTACTATAGAGGTCTATTTCACAGGAGTATAGGGGTAGCTTTGCTATGCATTTACATGGAAACTGTCGAGTTTTACATTTATTTTACTCTAGAGGTCTATTTTACAGTGGTATAGGGGTAGCTTTGTTATGAGTTTACATGGGAACTGTTTACATGGTCGGGATGATATGAATCAGAAACAGCGTAATGTCACCAGCTGGCATTGTGTCTCTTGGCTACCTCCGCTAGAAATTCTACATGACTTGCATAGAGGTCTAGTTTACCACTTAAGTCCATCCACTGAACATTCATTGCATCATCACCTAAAATAACAAGAAGTTGGTTGTATTATTAAATGGTACTACATTGTGTATAATTATAATCATAGAAAGTGGTCCTAAAGTGATGTACATTTTATATCCTTATTCCACAATTGTCAACATACAAAATGTTCATGCACCTTACAAATAAATCAACTCACAATAACCTTTCATGCTGACCACATAAATTCATGTAAATGATTTCAACAATAAAATGCTTTCTTTGGTTGTTACTATAGAAATTTATGCCACAGTTGTTGCAGAAAAAATGCAAAATCAACATTTATATAAAATGTCATCTTCTATTTTCCTTTTTACAGAAAAGCTTTCTTGAGAGTTTTGCTCAGGTAAGCGTATAAAGTGACAAGAAATTTAAAATACCAAACTAAACTTGTAAGAGCTATGTCCACCGTTGATTCTTATCGAATAACTAAAACTTGGAATCAGTGTAGGGAAACTCCTTCTGCAGGAAAGATAACTCCTATATCGGTCATATTTTTGCCAAGTTAGCTACAGTGCCATTTGTTGACAAAATATTTTGTAACACAAACATCCAAACTCACCCACCCCAAAACTGACATATATGTATTTTAGCTTTTTATGATCACTGCATCATTTAAATACAATACCCTGCATAAGATTTACCTTAAAGATTTACTATTTTTTCAACAGTAAAAGCAACACTTAAATATTTGTGAAAGAATAATTTCTGGGGTAAATCGGTAATTTAAATATTTTAAAACTAAAAGCAGAGACAACTTAGGAATTTTGTAAATAATAAAATGCTTGTTATATAGTTATGAAACCATATCCTTTTTTCTCATACTTTTTATTCATATACGTATAGGATTGGAATTTCACTGTACCTGCACACAATTTAATTTTTCCTAAACATGAGCTATCTTCATCATGGAAATTCATTGCTACAGTCTCCATCCAGGCATTATCTGTGTTCCTGGGGTCGTCCACGTACCCTCGGTAGACCTGGTAGAATTACAAATGTACATGGGATTACAAATGTAATAATGCTGTAAACATTGTAGAATTACAAGTGTAACAATGAAATCATCTCATTCAATATACTTTACACAGAGAGAATGTCATTTAACAATTCACCAGTGTAGAAAAAAAAAAATCTGTTAATTTTTGTAAATAAACATTTTTTTTAATTGTCTTTGAATAGATAGTGATCATAAGGGACTTCACTCATCCACTACAAAGGTTGCATAAACCCACATATCTGTGTAAATCTCCTTTTTATTAGACTACAATAAACCAAATAAATAGTAAAGGCAACTTGATGTTTACTTTCTCTTGATTAGGACACTCAACCAACCAGGAGAGCTGTATAATTTTTATTTACAATGCAATGTATATTTCTAATCACAAAAAATAGCTCCCATGTAATAAATCATGCTATACTTGGTGGGAGGCATTTAAAAAATTTGCGATAAGAAAATCATATAACGTGAAGTGCCTATTTCACTCTGTCTGTCAGCATATTTGTATCAGAATTGTGCATCCAAAACTTGCCTCTCCAATGTACTATAATAAATCATTTCAATGTAAATGATTACAAACTGTACAGAATAAGTTCACCCATTACCTCATGTCCTGAATTAAAAAGTTCGTCTAATTCTTTCTCTACTCTCTTTTTTTCTGCTGGAGACATTTCCAGGGAATTGAGAGCTTCCTCTCCGAATTCTCGTCTAACTGTTGCCGTGACAACTTCCCCAGCATCCACCATTCCCTGAAAAAAATAATAGACCGCTCTTATAAGATCAAATTATCTATCAAAATGAAATTACCTGGGTATTATATTTATGTGGTTATAAAAACTGAAGCAGTTTAAGTAATCTTGGCTTTTCTATTATAAAGAATACATATAATTTTTTTATTTATTTTAGGAATAACGTCTTGTAGAGTAATGCTGAAGTGAAAATTTCACAAGAATATAATTCAAGGAGTTTTTTTTATTTAAAGTTGAGGAAAAATAAAGAAAAAAAATCAAATTAAAAGGAGAGTTTCTCATTAGTTTGTTAATTCTTGTACATTGTAATGGCATTACTATGTGCCTATAGTTAAAGACACCCAAACTTTCATCTAATGCTGTGTTCTGCTAACTTGTCAGACCTGATTACTACTGAGTTTGACCTTGACCCCTGGTCAGACTTGATTACTACTGAGTTTGACCTTGACCCATGGTCAGACTTGATTACTACTGAGTTTGACACTGACCCCTCTTCAGACTTGATTGTTACTGAGTTTGACACTGACCCCTGATCAGACTTGATTACTAATGAGTATGACACTGACCCCTGGTCAGACTTGATTACTATTGAGTTTGACACTGACCCCTGGTCAGACTTGATTGTTACTGAGTTTGACACTGACCCCTGCTCAGACTTGATTACTAATGAGTATGACACTGACCCCTGGTCAGACTTGATTATTACTGAGTTTGACACTGACCCCTGGTCAGGCTTGATTGTTACTGAGTTTGATACTGACCCCTGGGATGGCCCACTGGTGATTGTCCCTTCGCTGGACAGACACAAACTGAAGTACAGGTTTGGAATCTGGTCCCTGTACAGCCTTTCCTGAGTCATCTCTCTTCCATCTGAAAAAAGGTATACTCTCTATATTACTTTTTTTTCCTTTCAATAAAATTATAGTATTATACAAGTAACAACACCTAAGTAAATTAATCATTAGATTATGTTGTTGAGTTAGATTTCAAATGGAGATAAAGTGATTTTCTAGAAGAACGACAGAATGGGAGATAAAATGAAAAAATTGATCTCGCAATCTAGTTGTCCATTCAGAGCTCCAGATAATTTTTTACCCTAAAGTGTATTTACTCCCTGATTTTCAAATCAATGCAGATTTTGATTTTCAGCAAAATGATTGCAGAGGATTTTGTTTATATAGAAATGTTTTGACCTTTATTTGGAGCTTGTAATCGAAGTATGAGTTTTTGAAGAAGGAAAAAACTTCCAAGGTCAGTTCCTGCATTTATTCAAATAAGTTTTGTTAATACCAACAAAACTTTTTGCTAAGATTGGGAAGCATTCTTTTTTGACAAGGAAGACACAGTACGTCAAGGAACACTGTACCATAGAGTCACCGACACATATAACTTTCCCTTCATTCAAGATATCGTATCAAGAGTAAACCCAGAGAATCTTCGTTAATATGGCAAGTTGAGAGAGATGAAAAATTGGCCATGAACCCATAATACAAAAAAGTTATGCCTAGTGCATAGTCTTAATTTCTACCCAGAAATTAATTTTAATCTATATCTCCGATTCTTCCTCTCGAAATGGAGATCGTCGTTGTCACTACTAGAATATTCCTGGTCACTAAAAGGCTTTTAAATTTGTACTTCGTTTTCAGAAAAATCAAACACTGTGTTAACCTCTATTGGTATCATTAAGTAAGTCGTACATATATTCTTCAACTTGTATGCAGTACTTTTGTGGTGTATTGCGTTTCTATGATTGCTAATGCGTAATTGTATGCTCTATTTTAATTTTCAATGCATATTTTTTAAAATTTAATGCATATTTCTGCAAATACGCACCTTATCTGGAGCTCTGTCCATTTTTCTGGAAATTTAATATTTTACAATGGAGAGGGGGGCAATATTTTACTTTGTGACCATGGTGATGGTGCATTATTTTACCTGGTGATTATGGGGAGTTGGGGAGAGGTTATTTATGTTATTTTACCTGGTGACTATAGGGTCAGCTGCATGATTAGGTCCCCATCTTCCCAGCTGTCCCCTTCCTTTCAATCCAGTTCTACCTCGGGGATTCCTGAAAATTAAACACAGGTAATCAGGATATTTTGACATATCTTAAGATGTCTTTGTTTATACAATAAAATATGTTCAAAACAAAGAAGAAAAACTGGAGACCAACACCTTGAGGTTAAAATTGCGGAAGATTCTCACATGTGGATAACCAAAGGTATTCTGAACCTAAAGTTTTAAACTAAAAGAAATACATGTAAAAGAGATTACCAACACTTCGTGAGAATGCAGCAGTTAATTTATTTGGTTTACCAGTATTGACCAGAGGCAGTCTTCAACAGGCCTCTGCTCAAAACCGCTACACCAAATAAATTTACTGCATTCTCACGAAGTGTTGGTGATCTCTTTTGAATCTTTTAGTTTTAATATATCTAATTATCTATAAATGAAGAACAAAGAAGACATCTATCAGGTTCAACAAATGACGGCCAGCTAAAATACCAGTGTCTAAGGTTTCCAAAATTTTATCAAACATGATAGGCCTAATTTTTTTTTTAAATATTGCTTTTGCTATTACTTTCACAATGGATGTTCTAATTTTTACTTTACTTATAGAGTTCTGTGTACATGTCTGCCTTAATAATTTGAAAAGTACCCACTACTTTGAAAGACATTTTATCTATTGAATGTTTTATCCTGCATTTAAATAGATTTTTCAAATGTAAAAAATTTACCAAATACATTTTCCAAGCTCAATTCTTACCACAATGAAAAAAATTTTAAGTTTAAATTTACATAAACCAGTCAAAGAAATAGAATACTCTAAATATATATATAATATATATCTATAAATAGTGCCGACACAATACGTACCTTGGAACACCATCAATGACTTCATATTTCCCCATGTGACTGACTCTGTTAATTTTCCCATCACAGCCATTGAAACTCAGGGGTTTATCTACCTTCTCATTTCTGAATAAAAAGTTTGATGCATAAGTCATTTCAACTGCCAATCAAATTGTAAATATATTTATAAACATAGGTAATCAGAGATTACAGAGCTCACCTCAATGAATGTTGTCTTTAAGTAAGGCAAAGTCACACAGTTAACCAACAAAAAGTATACATTCCAAAAATGAAAATATTTTTAAAAGCAATTTTGATCTGATACTTTGAAATAGACCTACATTAAAAATTTAAACTACTTCTTCTTCATGAAAATGTAATGAAAATCCAGCATCTGAAGCAAATTTGAGAGTTTTCATCTCTTGATGCAGCATTTGTGAAAGTTTGGTTTATACAATGTTATATAAGCCTTATCGTTTTTGGTAATAGACCTGCAACCATAACTTTTACCTTGTCTATTATCTGAAAAATGTATGTCCAATTCAGCATCCGAAGCAAGTCCATTAGTGTGCATCCTTAGATGTATCATCCATGCAAGTTTGCTCATTATAGGGCTCATAGTTTATTGAAATGAAACATGTAAAACTAACATTTTCACTCATCCACAAAAAAAGGTCAATTAGCTTCCGAAAAGCCTAGAAGTATGCATCCTTAGATGTATCATCTATGCAAGACTGGTCATTAAAGAACTCATAGTTCCTTGGAAATGAAACCTGCACCAAAAACTTTTAACTATTCACTCAACCGGAAAATGTAGGTCAGATTCAACATCCGAAGCAAGCCTGGTAGTGTGCATCCTTAGACGTATCATCCATGCAAGTTTGGTCAACATAGGGTATAGTTACTTGGAAATGAAACCTGCACCAAAAACATTAACCTGTTCGCTCAACTGGAAAATGTAGGTCAGATTCAGCATCCGAAGCAGATGCATCCTTAATGTATCATCCATGCAAGTTTGGTCAACATAGGGCTTATAGTTACTTGGAAATGAAACCTGCACCAAAAACTTTAACATGTTCCTCAATGGAAAATGTAGGTCAGATTTTCAGCATCCGAAGCAAGCCCTAGTATGCATCCTTAGATGTATCATCCATGCAAGTTTGGTATAAATAGGGCTTATAGTTACTTTGAAATGAAACCTAAAACAAAAACTTTAACCTGTTCACTCAACTGGAAAATGTAGGTCAGATTCAGCATCCGAAGCAAGCCCGGTAGTATGCATCCTTAGGTGTATCATCCATGCAAGTTTGGTCAACATAGGCCTGATAGTTACTTGGAAATGAAACCCACACCAAAAACTGCACCAAAAATGTTAATTCCAAAAACATTAACCTGGTAATTCCTTTGCTGAAATTGCAGCATCTGAAACTTTGTCTGGTACAATAAAACACACTAAAACCATTTTCCATGCATGTCTAATCAGTATAGGACACAGAAGTAATTAAAAAGAAAACTGCTCCAAAAAACTTAACCTTAACCTGGGACGCCGACGCCGACGCCGACACCGACGCCGACGGTATCACATAAGCTCCCCCCAACTTCGTTGAGGTGAGCTAAAAATGGTTTGGGTTCGGAAAGCATATATTTGTATACGTCACGATCAGCTGATCAACTACTATATCAAGCCAAATGTAATGAATGTATACAGAAATCTGTAGGCTTCTGAAACATTTATTCTGCTTTGTTTTAAGTTTATACCGTATATCAGGATCAGCATAGACAGGTCGTTTTAAGATTGATGCTGCTGTATAATCCACTGGTGCATAATTAGGAAAACTGACGGTCCAGGGAACTTTCTCGTCAGGAACAGGAAATCGCTTCACTTCGCTCCGCGGGTAAATCTCACAGCGTGCTTTTACATGGCACTTGGGCTTCATAGCAGATGAAAGTCGTGCCACAGACGTGGCTTTATTTCCCATAAACCCTCTGTTCTGAAGCAGAAATGTATACATGTTAAAATAATAATCAAACATAATCTGATGAAAGGAAAATGTTCTCAATTTCCACATTGTATTATACTATTTTTCCTAATTTTTTTTTTTTTTTTTTTTTATTTATTTACTTAGAGAAGGTGGCCTGATTAGTGTGACACACTATTCTTCCTCAGGACCTTCTAATTTCAACAACAATATTACATTAAATTAGCAAAGATATACAAACAACTTAGCAAGTCAATTAAAATACAAGTACATGTTTGATGTCATATGATGATAATGATAATCATAATTAAATAGCAATGATAAAAATATAAATTAAGATGACATAAAATGTTATAAAAATGTAATATCAGTAAGATTTTACAATACATAAATTATATACAATGTAATTTGAAATAATTCTGTAAACAATTTAATCCATTCAAACCAGAGACTGAATGAGTTGGACTTTTAGGTGTTAACTAATTTTATAAGAATGTCACCAGTTTACTACATAGGATAAATAATCTACTTTTCAAGTTTCAAGCTACAGCTGCTTTTTGGTCATACCTCCTATTCAAATGGTGTATTATCACACAAAATAGATGTTTTTTCAACAGTGTTATTTTCTATTACCCAGTAGAAAGAAATCTTTTACAGAAAATGGATTAATAATCCTATTTGAAATTCATTTATTTAATGTTTTATGTTTCATATTTCAAATAAAATATAGGTTAAACTAAAATACATATGTCCCTCATGTGTCTACATGTAGTACACTCACCCCTACTTGAAATGGTCGGTGAATAATATCATATTCAGTCAGAACTGTAAGATCTACCCTAGTACTATTGAAGTATTACATTTATCCTTAAGTATGTATACCTTTCGCCTACAGATATATTTCAGATACTCCACAGATAACCACACCGTGACGATCATTCTACTGCCGAGTGACTCGATACCGAATGTTATTATGGTTACAGTGAATAAACAATATTTACTAAACAGGTGTGGCAATTTTTAAAAATTTTATTAGATGTTCACATTTTACAATTTCATGTCTTGGTCCACTATTATAAAAATTGTCGAAAAATTAATTATATACTTTAGTGGATAAAATAGTTTCGCAGCAAAAACTCTCATTAGTTCCGGTTATTAATTTTGAATGAATTAACATGGTTTGTCCATACCAAGGGAAATCGATATGTGTGTATATCTGTACGCTAGCCTAGTCTTAGCATACTTTACTCAACTAAATATCCAATTTAACCTAAAATCAAATACTTACTTCAAAAGTGGCTTCTTGTATCGAGGAAACAAATAAAATTACAAGTTGTAACATGCACAAAAATCTGTGCAGAACAATAACAATCAACAGTGACGCCCCTTGGACCACGAGAGGAAGTGATAAGAATGCCGATCCCGATCTATATATTAATTCTTACTTGGTAGCGGGCTGGGGAGGGGTATCTCTAATAGCTACATGTATCTTAAAAAGATAATTTCACAAACAGAGTCAGAGAGAGGAGAAAAAACTGTCATTTATATATTTTTTCAGGAGTACACCAGGTCCCTGGATTACACGCTTGGACGAAAAAAGGCCTATTTGGAAAACTACAAGAAAATAAGAAAATCACTAATTATTTAAAAGTAGATAAACAAGAAAATTCGAAGAATTATGGTCCCCCGCTTAGTGGGTGGGATGCCATTATTTATTTTATGACATATTGTGTCAATTATGACCGCCCTGTCATATATGCCATTCAAAAGTAATCACGAAAGTTAAATATAACTTTTGAAAATTAGGTCAACATAAAAGTAAAGGGGGTCAAAAATCAAAGCATGCTCTGAAACATCTTGCCACAGATAATGCACAGAAAGCTATATCTCTTCTCAATCAAAAGTTATAAGGAAAATTACATTTTTGAAAAGTAGGTCATACTTTATGATTAAGGTCACGGGGTAAAAAATCATATTAAATTTGGAAAGGTCTTGCCACAGGTTATATGCATGTATATTATGAATGCCTTATCTTTTCTCTTTCAAAAATTATTACCAATTCAAAGTAATGTTCATTTTTCAACAAGTAGGTTAAAGGTCAAGGTCGAGGTTTTAAAATTCATGTCTATTGGAAAGGTCTCGTCACAGGTAATATTTAAGTGAAATATGAAAGCCCTGTCCCTTTTCATTTAGAAGTGAGAACCAAGGTTAAAGTTTTTGTGACAGACGGACAGACTGACTGTCCTACAGACTGAAAGACGGATGAGATTAATATCCCATCCCTTTGGCAAAAGTGGGGGGTAATAAGTAATCGTTTATTTTTGACATTGTGCATTATTAATAATTTCTACTGTAAAAAAAAAAAACAACAACAACAACATTAAACTAAACTACAAACGGTCCGTTTGACCTTTATTCACATTTTCCATTAAAATATTGAAATTTACACATATTCAGAAGATTTTTCTTAATGGTTTAAAACTGTATGTATGAATTTAGCTAATTTAATCTGGTAATTTTGATGTAACATTTACAGCTAATCGTTTAGAAATTTATGGTGTTTTTTTTTTCATTTTCGGCAGAAGAGATTGAACAAAAAACGTACTTTCACAGTTTCAATTTTAATAATGACCAGTTTCTGATATCCCTAGCCGGCTAATCTTCCACTGAAAAGGCCATATATTTTGCTCTGTAACATCTATTTTTCCACAAAAATATTCTGCCAATCTGTTAACTTCAAAGAAAAAAAAGTTTTAAATATCATCTCCCCTTCCACGTTTATTAAACTGATCATAATTACATGTGTGTTTTACAAGACAATTGATATAAAATACTCGTAAGGTGTGTTTGTGAAACACTGACACCCCCGTATGGCAACATAGCGAAGATTAAACTTTTCTTAAATGCAAAAGATCAGTTCCCAAAGAAGGGTCTTCTCACAAGAAATACGATTGTGGAATATGAAAGCCCTAGAAACTAACAGCTCAAAAGTTATGGGTAAGGTAAAAGTTTTTAAAAGTATGTCAAACTCCAGGGTCAAAGTTGTAGGTCTCTTATGAAAGGTCTTTTCACAAGTATTACATATGTGAATTATGAAAGCCCTAGCCCTAACCGTTCAAAAGTTATGGCCAAGGTTATAGTTTTTAAAAAAGTAGATCAAACTCCAAGGTCAAAGGGTCAAAGTTCTTGGTTTCCAATGAAAGGTCTTGTCAAGGATTACATATGTGAAATATGAAAGCCCTAGCCCTTACTGTTCAAAAGTTACGGCCAAGTTTAAAGTTTGTTCATTTTTACGGAAATCTCAAAGGTCAATGTCAAAAGGTCAAGGTTGTTGGTATCTAATGAAAGGTCTTTCCAAAAAGAATACATAATGTGAAATATGAGAGTCCTGGCCTGATATCTACTGTTCAAAAGTGATTACAAGTCTAAGTTACAATTTTATTTTTTGTGGAAAAGTGGGTCATACTCCAAGGTCAAGGTCAAATTTTGTGGTACCCAAAAGGTGTTGTCACAAGGAATATACTTGTGAAATATGAAATACATATAGCTCCACTAAATCAAAAGTTATGAGCAAGGTTAAAGTTTTTCCGGACAGACTTAATTACGGATGAACACGACAAAAACTATATACCCCGATCTTCGATTACGGGGGCATAAAAATCTTATTGACGAAAAAGTTTCAAATGATTAACGAAGGTGAGAAAAGTCGTGTTATAATCCGAAAGAGCTAGAGGACACAAATAAAGAGCCCCAGGCGCGACTGTTAAATTAATTTGTCACCAATAGGTCACTTTATCGGGAATAATATATACTTTATTGCATATCAATATGTCGAGATAATATTGTGTAATGTTATGAAATCTTTGGTAAAAATGCATGCCTTCATTTGTACACTGCATGGTTACATGTATACTCAGTAAGTGGCTCCCAAGTCGGTCAGTCAAGCTGGCGGGTATGTGTAAAACACGAAGCGAGAAACAAGAAACGAGAAACAATGAAATGAGATTCAGGTTAAAATAACTTAGGACCTTAAAATGTCAACAAAGGGGGCGGCTTGTACTTTTGATTTCATTTTGTTAGAAAACAGATGCAGAGTGAAATAAAAATATCTAACTTAGGTCTGATTTATTAGCGACCCGCACAACTATCTGCACAGAAAAACCCTTTAGAAAATGTTGACAGATTTAATTAATACAATACTGTTATCTAAGAGAAATGCTTACTCAGTTTTTGCTTGAAATAATAAAGTTGTATTAATATTTTGTTATTTGACATCCCCTATATTACATTTGATATTTAGTAATTCTTATAATAGTGTAGGTGGAATTTATTGTTAATGTTATAAGATATAGCTTTCCTAATTACATTTTTAACATAATAATATATATACTAGTACATCATGTTCATATACCGGTAAATGTTTTTTTAACATATATATATAGAACAGATGTATGAATGTTTTATTTATAAATACTGTGAAATTATTTAATGATTTGTTTATTCTTTGATTATGAAACAATCAGATAATAATTTGAGGTGAGCTATTAAATCATGTCCTTTCAGCTGATATCTAATTAAATCTGTCATGTCTTTATGGGTTTAGCAGTGCAAGATCGCTGATGTTTCACTCAGCATCTGTTTCTAACAAATGAAAGCACAGCAAAAGCTGCCCCCTTGGTTGACATTTTTAGGTCATTCTTTTTTTTTATTTAATTCTGTTATTTCTCGTTTCTTGTTTCTCCTTTCTTGTTTTACACATACCCAAGCCCAGCGATCACACCGATCAGCTAGTACAGCCTATACACTGTAGTTTATATTTAAACCATCCCGGTTGAAATGAAAATAAAATATATATTATAAAAATAAATTACTCAAAATATATTTTTTTAAAGAAAAAAGAAGCTTTTAATATATTTCCTTGTTACACCATTAATTACCTAGAATGTATTATGTGATAACGTTCATGGTGAAACCATCGGTGTATTTATACAGAACGTACTCATGTGCAGCTTTCGATCACTGTGTATGGGTGAAAGGTTCAATGTTCAGAGGTGACATGCCTATCTCTGCCGACAATCATCCCATAAAATCAGCATCTGACAATTATTCCCTATTGAGAAGTTTAGGTCTTGTTTTAATACCCCCCAGTTGCGAGGGGGAGAATTAAAACGAGACATCAACTTCTCAATAGAGAATAGTGGCATTGTGTGCGTCGAAGCTCTGGATTATATCATAGTTTTTGCACACACACAGAAGAAGGAAATAAACTGTGAAGAAAAGAACAAGTGTTACAGACCAGTTAATGTTTTAATTCAAGATACGAGGGCTGTTCAATAAATAATGTCCTGAACTGTATGAAATACAATACAGATATCATATGACTCCTTGCCAACAAAAATTATGTAATTTTTGCCAAATTTCAACAAATAATATTTGATGATGTATGATTGACTTTAAGACACATTGCAAATTTGATAGACATCATATCGGGAGTAGTTTACACTGTTTTTAAGAAACGTTTAACAGTAAAATAGCTTGGTACTCAAAGGTCACCCAATATTTTTAGCTGCAATAATGTAATTCAAACAGATATTGGAAGATGAATCTATTGCTTAAAACCATCAAAACAAAACTTACCATAAGATGTACTTGATAAAAACGTCGAAAAGCAAAGGTATGCAAGAGCAAAGGTATGCAAAAGCACAAAGACAAATTTATATGCAATTTTCTTAAGTATAAGTGGTATTGTCAAATTCTTATTCGGGCAGACAGTTTAATATCTGGAGGAGTCTAGAAAGCAGTTTTTTTGCAATAAAATCGAAAGGTTTATCAGTGAAAGGACCCAGAATCAGGAATCCACTACATTAAATTTCTTCAAGACAGCGTCCAAACCCGCATGCCCTGAAGAGTAAAGGGGTTTTCGGGATAAACAGAAAGTTAATGTTTTTTCACATGAACAATATTTGCCAGATCTTTGACCTTTTGACTTGTTTCTAAAAAACACCTTTCAGAAGGAAAAATCAAGTTCAGGAAATCATAGGATCTGTCATTTTCCAGTATACCAAGGGACATACCCCAAAATGAGTTCTAATAACAATCAGAAATGGGATTAAAAATGTTACGGACATGTGTTTGAATTAAAAGAGATTAATATGTTAAATCGATCGTGAAGACTAAATCATTGAAAAGCGTTGTTTGCTTCTTTCTGAGCACCGAGGACATTATTTATTGAACAGCCCTCCTAGACTGGTCCAAACATTCGCGTATCTTTGATAGAGGATGCGGATGTCGTCGGAGGACATACGCAGCCAACATATACCTATACCTACTGATTTTATTTTTCAAGATATTCTTAATTTAAGATTATATATTTCCATCAGATGTTTTTAGACAAAAATTCAGGGATTTTGATAAGATTTAAATGGTTGAAATTTTTGTATAATTTGAAGAAAAATATACAAGAAATACTAAACATATATTCTAGCTTTTATGTTTATCCAATTTGTTTTAGAAGAATAGTACAAAACCATCTACAATGTATATACATGTACATTAAAATGTAACACCCAGTTCCTTTACTTATTGGAACTCTTCAACTGCACGGGTCCCGGGAAAAGACAATAAATTAAGTTCAACCTACTGTGTGTATGTCCTTATGTTATGTTCTAATTAAAAATCAGAATCGTCGACTTCCCTTACCTTGTAATATGCAGCAATATACCTTCATCACCTGCATACGGAGTTTTATATCTCAATTGATTCGATACGGAAAAGCATGTTCTACGTATGAACAGTTTCTAATCGGGGTAAGTTGTAGACAAACAAGTTGATGAATCAAAAATATCAGCAGTCTCATTTAAAGTCATCATTTCGTAAGTTCTATGTTCGATACAATGACCTTGTCATACAGCAAACACAATTTATCATTAAGTCAAATACTAATTGTTTAGTCCAGTATTTATACACTAAATTGACGACGGATTTTTTCGTTATTGGCCTTTCCTTTGTTCTTATGACCTTTTAACGTCCTGAGCACACGGCGGGTGTGACCGAAAATTTGACAATTTTTATTGTTCGTGTCGTTGGTCATTTTAGTGCTTTATATAAATTTCCATCCGTGACCTTGTATCTACTTGGTAGCACATTTAGGATATACAGTGTTGTTGGTTTTTTAGTGCTTTATATATATATATATATATATATATATATATATATATATATATATATATATATATATATATATATATATATATATATATATATATATAACAACTTCTGGAATTTCGAGAAGAACGCAATTTTTGATTTGAGTTTTGCTTTGACAAAAGTTCCATTAAATATCCTGGTGCTTGGCCCACTGAACAGTTTGTACATAAAAGTAAGAATTTTGAATAATACTCTAGATCTAATAGGTATCCAATGGAGATCGAATAGAGCCTCTTTTGAACTGTCAAATTTCCTCCGATTTAAAACTAATTTAGCAAACATATTTTGAATGTATAGAGATACATGTCAAGATGTCCACTTTATATATATAGTATTACGCAATATATCATACTATGGTGAAGAGTTTACATATTTTAAAATTAAACTCTTTGGACCCGGGGGGTGGGGGTAAGTGAAAACAAAATTGTATATGAAGAATTTAAGTAATTACATGACAGTAATCGCCTAAGGTCGGCCAAAACAGACAGATAGGCCTATCAGATACTAGAGATTTTTTTTAGTTCCATAAAATAAATGAAGTTAAATTGTGCATGAAAAATAGATCAGTACGTCAACACCTTTCAAAATGGTACAATCGGCGCATGAAATGTTGGCTTAGTAGTACATGTACTAGCTAGTATCAGAGTATAAATGTAGGCCCTTTGAGACAAAAATTAATTTGGTTCTAGGTATTCACACCGCGAAACTCCTTTTTTCGCAATTTCAACTCGCTTTCGGAAATATTCCAGTTTTTAACATTTTGTTTTCTATTAAGATGTGTAAAACTATTATTTTTTTTTTTTTTGTAATTCATTTCCTTAATTCACAGCTCTATACAATTATCAAAAAAAATCTACAATTGGCCAAAAAAAATTAAAATAAACAGAATGACCCATCGCGTTTTTTTTTTTAAAATACATCCACTCTTCGGTGAAACCAAGTTCCTTACGTAATACCGAGACCCCTTGTACCACGTGTCACAAAACCCCAAACGTATAGCAGTAGCCGTAGGCAGAGTGTGTGATGCTGTGAGAAGCGACGGAAGTGAAAACCAGCTAGCAGATTAGAGGTTTGAAATATATTGCATTTAGTCTACTTAAATATTCTATGTTTCAAAAGCAAAAAATTGCACATTTTTGTACATGTCAAACAAGTTGTCGCCAAAACTGCAAAGCACGAGTAAACTAAAGGTCGGGATTCATGAATGCAGCAGCTAGCCAATGTCATGAATGTGGCCGGGTTCACGTGGTCCTTAGTAAGCCTGCTGCAGACGGAGATCAGCAGGCTTTGTGATACCCTTTAGAAAACCTATAAAAAAAGTTAAATTTTTGGATGGATCACATTAAATTGATATTAAAATAAGCTAAAGTAAGCATGCTGGATGGAAACCCTAGCTTTCCTATCTTTCCCATGCTTTATGTTTTCGCGGGGTTTTCGTCGGAAATTAACTAAGTAATGAAAGCAGCCAATCAAATCACTCGCTTCTTTCCGTGGCTGCATGGCAAGGTGGTCGGCCATTACTGTTGCGAGGAGCTTCTGTGGGAAAGTAGACCTGGATTTCTGCATGAGGCGCGTTTTAAAGGTAAACGTAACATTGCACGTACGATTTTTAAAATTTTTTATTGAATAGTCAATTTGATTTAAAAAAAAAAAATGCTATTGATCGAATACGAGGTGGAAAAAGTGTACAACTTGCAGCTGATCTGGGGTTCAGTATTGTAAACAAACCAAATCGGAGAAAGTGTTGGAGAAACGCATACCTTTTGTTTATGTGTATTTGTTAATGCCCAAGATCATAGTATATAATATATTTATTGAAGCATAAAAAGAAATTTTTAAGACTTACTAAGAACACTGGAATGCTGAAAGGATTAAGTGTGCATGTCAACAAACAGATGTTTACACACTGTAAAAAGAATGGTCTGTGTAAGATTATTTACCAAAACAGTATCAATTAGAAATGTGCTTAAAAAAAATAATATATAAGAGGTCCATTGGAATGCAAGTCACTTGCAAACTTGTTGGACAATTTGCCCCTTCACAATAATTTACTGTAAAAAGAATGGTCTGTGTCAACATGTCCAAAATTATTTTTTACCAAAACAGTTAAAAATTTTACAGTTTATAAATTTTTAGAAATGTGAGAAAAATTCTTGAAAAAAAATATTTTCAAAAAATATATAAGAGGAAAACCATCATTGCAGAAACAAAATATGTTTATCAATGCAAGTCTTGGATAACTGGAAAGTTGCTGTTTAAAACTTGAAAATGAAAGTACATTGCAAATGGCGGATTTTAGGGGCCTTGTCTTTATACATGTCATGCTTTCAATAACAGCCTTTCAGAAACCATTCACTTCCAACTTGCCCTTCAATGATAAACACAATTACTCAATGATGGTTTTGCAGGCATGTGCATTTTTCTTTAAATTGCACAATAACCAAAAATTATCTTTTTTAAAATATTTGTAGAAGTTTTTTCTATCTATTAATCAATGATATATTTATAAATCTCTATAATAAGATGATGGGTATTAAACAATTGCTTTTAGTTTTGCATTTAATTTGCTGAAATATACCATTTTGCCCTGCAAAATAATATATAATTTTTGTTTTGATTTGCACTTTTTGTGACTCCAATGCAAAAGAGTTTCTTGGAAATAGTGGTAGAATAAACTGGGGGGAAAAAGTATCATTTTTCCCCTCCACTGTAGGTAAAGAAATCGAACAAATTACGTATTTTATGTTATTGTATGTTATTGGTGTTAATTTTTTATGTCATTCACTTAAATGAAAAATGAAACATCCTAATGAATGAATGAATTCACTCGAATCAAAAGTGAAAGGATTAATGCAAAGACCAATGATTCCTTCAGTCTTCACAACAATTCTTTTTCAGCACATGCCCTTCGGGCATGTATACCGATTATTTTAACCCAGCCCATTGAAATTTGTACATGCCCTACTCAAAATTAATTTATATAACGTTAGCAGATATGATTGTGCAACAAAAAAATAAGGTTTTTATATTAACTATTAGGACAGTGTTTCTGTTTTTAAATCCTCTCCATCTTTAGCTTAAATTGTTTTCAGAGTTTTAAATCAACAGTGGCCTGTCTGTCTGCATTTTTTGTATGCGTTTTTGGCTTTTTGTTGACAACTTTTGACTCGCATGCGGGTCTTTTGTTGGCTGGTTTAGCTGAACTGAATTTCAGAAATAGGATCATGACAGCAGTCCACTGCACGCGGCATCAATAAACATATTGTAATTTAGCAAGAAACTTTGAGAAAACAAATAGGTTAAAATCAAACACTTTAATGATTATGATTGATAGTCATTTGCCAAGTCGTATCGAGAATGTAACGAAATACACATGTAGACTGACAATTCAACTTAAGACATAACATAGCAAGTTTACGCGAATAACTGGGTACGACAGAAAAAATGGCAATTAAATATTGTAAATTGAAAGAAAATTCACACATGCCCTTTGGGCATGTAATTTGAGAATTTTCACATGCCCGATGGCAAATTTACCAGGTCCCGGGCATGGGGCACCCAGGTTATTTCGAAGACTGTTCCTTTTAATATCAAAATATTTATCAATACCAGGAGAGGATCAAAACCTATGTATGCATTAAAAAATTAGAGAGGGGTCAGTCTGGCGCATGTCTTACAGATGAGTGTTGTTACGTTAGTCGCCGACTATCAAAAAATCATCGTTTAAAGGCCCAGATCGGCGACAATTGATTGTAAGTATTATCATCGATAGATCGCTATATTTTTGAAGCCGTATTTTTCAAGCCGAGCAGGTTTAACTTTTATATTCACCAAAGGGACGTCACTCTAATCGGCGGTAAACAAAATGGCGAACATGCATGGTGAAGACGTTGAAGCCGAATTATATCCCATATCCTGGTGCATTGTCTATTTAAAATACTTCTCAGGATGAATAAATTAAACATTTTTAATAGTTCAAATTATCGATTATATAATCGAAAGTAAAATTTGTCCGATTTTACAACACTATTACAGATATGGCACTATAAGATGCAAAACTGTGGGTCGAAACTCTTATCTTGGTGCATTTTAGGACCATTTTTAAGCTGACCGATTTTATTCATGACGTATCTGAGCATACTGTTCCTTCCTTCAATCAGACTCTTTGTAGTCGCGTATGTGTTTTACACCAGCAGAGCGTCTGGTTGATCAAGACTAAAATCGGAATTGTAAATGGAATATTTCCTTCGTATAGATTACGCTACTAGAATTTTTTTACCAAATACCGAGTCAATTATATTTATTAAAATTATATGTAATGATTTAAATAATAAACATAATAAAGTAATACTCCAGTATGTAATATGTTCTAATATTTCTTAAAACTTTGATTATTTATTTTGAAACAAAACAAGTACAAGTTACTCATTGTGTATCCAGACACTTGCCCGAAATGCCTCCAAAGCGAAGATCGGTATTGGGGCAACTGACCCAAAACAACGAAAGCTTTTGTTTGTTTTACAAATAAAACGACGGAAACTTTTTCATTCCCAGACTTGACAGAGATCTCTGATTAAGAAGAACAGTCAAAGACATCGACTCATGATGTCAACGGCAATGATGTTCGTCATTTCCAGTCCAAGTGGCTAACTTTGCACCCATGGTTGGAATTTGATCAGATGGGACCAATATGTTTTGCAAACAAATAAAAATTGCCTCAGGCGAATGCATTGTGACTCTTTTCAAATTTCAAAAAAGCAAGACGAATTAACAGAGAAATATGGATACAAGACTACTTGGGTCAAAAACACCACTTGCTAAAAATTTCAAGTGTCTTCTATTTTTACTCGCTGTTTTAAAAATCAACTCGCATTTTGCAAGTATTTCTCGCTAATTTCAAACCCTGTTATTTTGTGAACTACTAAACATTCTGCATTGAGTTTGGGTCCTTTTATTTTGTTTACAGTAAAAGAAGATAATACTGAAGATGCATGATTTAGTCTGCATGAATTATAATTGTACTACATGTTGAATTGTTTTGTTTACAGTGTTAAGTAAACATGTCGGGAAGAGGCCGAGCACGAGCGCGTGGTAGAGCACGAGGGGCTTCTGAAGATCAAGCTAGACGCCCAGGAGAACAGGCCCCGCCATCAAGGGAGGTAGGCACATTATTTAATATCAACATTGTTATTGCTTGATACTGATTCAGTTCTCACCAAACAAAAGCCCCTCCATTTTCTATTAGAGACCTAAATGTTAATCAATATCAACCTTTATCATGTTATTCCTCATTACCTTGTTTTTCACTCAAGAATTGATAATTTGAAAACACACACACACTAAAAGCATAAATGTCTTCACCAATTCAAATTATTTTTGCCGGATTACACATTTTGCATTAAATTGTATATATAGCAACAACCTTCCTCAGCCCCTGCCCCCGCTCCGGCAGGTGGTCCCCCAGCAGCTAGTGGGAGAGCGTCTTACAGAGGTGGTGCCAAGGAGCCACGGCCCGGTATTGCTACAGGAACAGGTGATGTGCCGGCAGAGGCATTAGCGAAAATGGCTATTGGTACAAGAGATGCAGGGGAGAGAAGGATAGACTTTACTATAGCGACCCAGAATGCAAGCCCGCGTGGCTTACAGATAAAAGAGGTAAATACAGTGCATGATCACTTTCTATATTCAGAATTAAAAATACGAATAATAATAGAGCAAAACTTGTAGAAACAAGTGCTCCTAGATCTTTGATTTTGGAAATTAGAAATGAAATTTTTGTAGTTTGTAAAGATGAGTGATCATAAAATGTTTGATTCAGGAACATCGGGAATACAGTTACCTGTAGTCACAAACTACTTCAAGCTTGAAATGGCACCTGACTGGCATCTCTACCAGTACCATGTGGATTTCAACCCTCCTGTTGACTCCAGAAAAATGCGCATGGCTCTATTAATGACCCATGAAAATTTACTTGGGAAGACGAAAGCTTTTGATGGGATGATCCTGTACTTGCCAAAACGTCTTCAGGATCAGGTTTGAAATTCAAGGACCTTTAAAGATATCTGATACAAGAAAAAGGATAATTTTTAAAAAATCTTAGTGTCTGTAATGGCAGTTACTGAATATGTTATTTGATTTGTTCATAGATTGGGTAGGTATTCTTTCTACAAGTTATTGTTGTTGACTTGTAGGTGACAGAGGTGTACAGTCAGAGGAAGACAGATGACGCCCAAATAAGAATTACAATCACACTGACCAATGAGCTACCCCCTTCCTCACCCCAAGTCATGCAGGTCTACAACATCATATTCAGAAGGTGAGTATCGGAGATGTAAACATTAAACAGAAAAACTTTTATGTTAATACTGTGTAGAAACAGATATTGGAGTTTTAATGGAAAGTTGGATAAGATAGATAATATTTATTTGTAGTTATGCAGGTACATTGACAAAAAAACGTCGGTAAAAACAAAATAAAGAATATTTGATGTCAAATACATATTTTTTGAGCAGTATTGCCATCTTTCTATGTGTATTAATTCTTCTCTCAGTGAATATATTTTGTATTATTTTTGCCTAGGGTACTGGCCATGATTGAAATGAAGCAGATTGGTCGTAATTACTTCAATCCCACTCTGTCGGTTGACATTCCACAACACAAGTAAGAACAGGAACCATTTATTGTGATCATTGGTTTTTAGCTCACCTGAGCCGAAGGCTAAAGTGAGCTTTTCTGATCACATTGTGTCCGTCGTCCCTCCGTCTCCGTCCGTAAACTTTTCACATTTTCGACTTCTTCTCAAGATCCACTGGGCCAATTTTGATCAAACTTGGTACAAAGCATGCTTGGGTAAAGGGGAACTTAAATTGTTAAAATAAAGGGCCAAATCCCTTCACAAGGGGAGATAATCAAGAAGAGACAAAAATAGGGTGGGGTCATTAAAAAATCTTCTCAAGAATCACTGGGCCAGAAAAGCTGAAACTTATGTGGAAGCATCCTGGGGTAGTGTAGATTGTAAATTGTTCAAATCATGACCCCCGGGGATTGGGTGGGGCCACAATGGGGAATCAAGTTTTACATAGAAATATATAAGAAAAATCTTTAAAAATCTTCTTCTCAAGAACCACTGGGCCAGAAAAGCTGAAACTATGTGTGAAAGCAATCCTGGTGTAGTGTAGATTCTAAATTGTTCAAATCATGACCCCCGGGGATTGGGCGGGGCCACAATGGGGAATCAAAGTTTTACATAGAAATATCTAGGAAAAATCTTTAAAGAACCACTGGGCCAGAAAAGCTGAACTTATGTGGAAGCATCCTGGGGTAGTGTGATTTCAAATTGTCTTAATTGTGATCAGTGGGGTCACAAATGTATTACAAGGGGGAAATCTAGTAAAGAACAGAATGGTCAAAGCTTCTCATGTGAGCGATGTGGCCCATGGGCCTCTTGTATTATTTAGTATGATTCTCAGAAACATAGTTACTTGTATGCATTGTAAGCTGAACTCTCACCATTATTAAAAGTGATTTTAAAGTGTCGCTAATGTAATGGTGAACACAACAGTTGTTTATGAAATATTTATTTTCAGACTGACTGTCATGCCCGGGTTTGTAACAGCCATTGCTAAGTATGAGACTGACACCTTGTTATGTGCAGACATCAGTCATAAAATCATCAGATCTGATACATTACTGGATCTGATGTACGACATGTACAACCAAAGCAAAGGGGATAGTTTCTACGATGATTGTGTCCGAAAGTTTGTTGGCTCTATTGTTCTAACAAGGTAACTTATAAATTAGTTTTATCAGTTATCTTTTTTCCTGATGCATTTTTAGCAGTGAGAGTTGAAAATAATGTGTGTGTTGTTTAGCATAGAAATAAAAGAAAAAATGTTTCAATAACTTAAATAAATCTGTGTTGCTATCCACGAGCTCGACATGTTGCATAAATCTGGAACAAATATGCTGAAGTTCAAATGTATTTTGTATTTAAATTTATCAATTAAAAGCAGAAACTCAATAAACAGTGGTACATTTTAATTCCCAAAAGTACAATTACGTTTTAAAGGAGGAACAAATCTTCATTTATCCCCGATATCCACAAAGTGAAATTCTTTCAGTATTTAACATTCTGGGTATGGTCTCCAGTCATTAGATTAATGATCTGACTTACAGGTATAACAATAAGACCTACCGTGTAGATGACTTTGACTGGGACAAGAGGCCAGATTTTGCCTTCAAGCTGAGGAATGATGTCTCCATTACTTTAGCTGAATATTACAAGAAGGTAAGTTTACTTTTTGGCTGTACTTGCATACATGTATCATATGAATAGAACACTACAAAGAAGTTAATGTGAAGTCTAGTTTGATTTTCAAGACCTGTCGCTTGATTTCTTTACATACATATTGTAGAACTACAACATAGAAGTTAGGGACATGAACCAGCCTCTGGTAGTATCAAGACCCAAGAAAAAGGACATCAGAATGGGACGTACAGAACCCATCTTCCTTCTACCAGAACTCTGTACTCTCACAGGTAATGCAGTAGTTACCAATTGATATCAGTGAACACAGTTCAGAGGTATTTGTAGAAGTGACTGAAGTTGATAGGTTTTCATTTCAGGACTGACTGATGAGGCCAGGGCTGACTTTAATGTCATGAAAGATGTAGGTGCTCACACCAGAGTTGCTCCAGAGGGAAGAAATAAAACATTACAAGGCTTTATTGACCAAATCAACAAGTTAGTAATAATAACGACTGAAATGTGACATACAACATCATTTTCTTAGAAAATGTTTCTTAATGGTAATTTATCTTGCTAATTGTCAAAGTTTGACAAGAATTTTTTAATTATAATATTTTGGTTTTAAAAAACTGGTTGTATAGGTGTGTCTTTAGAAGTCGACTCTTGATGGACTAGTATTCTGGTTTATACTTTGTTAATTGCCCTTCAAACCTATGTTAATTTGCTCTGACAGGAATGAGAAAGTGCGAGCAGAGATGGGAGGATGGGGACTAAGGTTTTCTCAGAATCTGCTGAACGTGAATGCTCACATCGCTCCCCAGGAGAAAATCTATCAGAAAGGAGGGGCCGAGGTAATTTCTCTGATTTGATCTTTTTTATTTACAAACAAAATTAGAAGCAATCCTTATAAGTGGAGTACAATTAAATTTGAATGATATATATTTTGTTTGTTGTAGTTGGGTTATAGACAAAAAGAAAAATGTATTTTGTTTGTTTAGTTGAGTTACAGACAGGAAGACGCAGACTGGAGCAGAGACATGAGAGGGAAGAAGTTGATCACCCCAGTGAATCTGGAGAACTGGGTCATCGTGTTTACGCGGAGAAACAGTCCCCAGGCTCAGGACCTGGTCCAGACCCTCAGCCGAGTCGGCCCGCCCATGGGAATGCAAATCAACTCTCCCACAATGTAAGTTCCAATTTGGAAGGAAGTTACAAAGAATTTCCTCTTGTACTGAAAGGGGAGGAGAGAGAATTTTCTGCACCAAATTGTATTTGATACCGTATAAGTGGAAATTTTAGGGAGACACAAATTTAGCGATTTCTCCTTAAATATTGGTAATTTATTTTTAGCGAGAGGTAATTTTAGCGATTTTAAAATGCCTTCTAAAGTAGCTATTACAAATAAAGTGCAATAAATATTTAGCGGTATTTAATTTTAACGATCTCATGACCCTCGCAAATAATGCCAAAATTAAATCCTCGCTAAAAATTCTACTTTCTATGTTTAAAAAAGAAAGGAAGTAAAAAGATTGGATGTATTTCTTCATTGAGGAGTTTATTGACATTTTTCAGTTGTGAGTTGCCAGATGATAGGAATGACAGCTATCTTACTGCACTAAAGCAATACGTAACCCCACAGACACAGTTGGCCTTGACCATTTTGCCTACAAATCGTAAGGATCGGTATGACGCCATTAAGAAATTTTGCTGTGTTGACCATCCAGGTATGTTGAGATTCACCAATGCTCTGTTATATAGATATATTGTGGAAAAAAAACTTGTTTCTTTGTTCATTAATTCAAGAATATGTACACTTATATATTATTCTGAATTTCTAATACTTGCTCAACTTAAAAAAAATTCTGGGATGGAATATTCATTGTACATGCTTTGCTAATGATTTACATGCACTGTATTTCTTGAAAAATTAACAGTTTAAAGTAAAACAAGTAGGTAAGACCTCTTACAATGGGAAGCAATGATGTTGAATGCACAGTAGCAGTTTTATTTTGCAGTACCAAGTCAGTGTGTTGTACAGAGAACTCTCTCGAAAAAACAGATGTTGATGTCTGTGGCAACCAAAATTGCCATTCAACTGAATTGTAAGCTAGGAGGAGAAGTATGGTGTCTGGAAATTCCTGTAAGTAAAATGAAACGCTTCATCAGCTAGAGTGTAGAGTGGTGCATGTTGTAGAATTTAACAGTATGTTTATCTGTATGTAATGTTTACTTGATATAATTCTGTGCACACTTCATATTGTACATGTATTATATAGTTCTTTCTGTTTCTTGTGATGTGCTTTATGGCTGTTTTTGTTGAAGAACTTTTATACTACATTTGTGATTGTCACTGTAGCTCAAGAACCTTATGGTGGTTGGGATAGATTCTTACCATGATTCTAGTAAGAAGGGCCGCTCCGTTGGGGGAGTGATTGCTTCCATGAATCAAGCTCTAACTCGATACTACTCTCGCTGCACCTTTCAACACTCCATGCAAGAGCTGATGGATGGTTTGAAAGTGTGCATGAAAGGTTTGAACTTCCTTTTAACTGATGATCAATTATCATTTCTAAGAATTGGCACTTGGTTAGTTTTCAATGCGTACTTGTTTGAGAGGTTAAAGGTAAGTAAATTCCACAAGAATAGATTCCGAGATGACTGCTGTCAAGGTTGTTCTTGGAGATTTGTCATAAAATGTGAATCCACTAACTACTAATCCTCAAGTTGTTGCTTCTAACAGCATGTTTGTGTACACTGTTGAACCTGTCTGTGGACTTTCTCAGATGATGTCCGTGTCTTGTGTATGTTCTCTATCTTTGTTTCAATGTCGGTGCACCCGGTTATAAGTGTACTGTTTAGGCCTGGAAAAAAAATATGTTTGTTTCCGCTTTCAGGCTGAAAATATATAGGGTCGGTAGGTAGGCATATTTTTTTTTTTTTTTTTTGAAAAAAATTTATTTTGCTTCTTTAATCAAAAAATCAAAACATGTATAGAATTGACATTAATGACGAAAGAAGTAGTGTTTTCAAGCTTTTCTGTGACTTAAACTTACAATAGAAAGGTGACCCAAATTCTTTCGGTCTTGAAAAGCTTGCAAAGTTGGAGACTATAATTCGCTGGATGAAATCTTGCACATCATGGGACAAAAAGCATTACAAAAATATTTAGGGTCGGCACTATAAATTAGGGTCGGTCGGGAAAGCGGAAACAAACATATTTTTTTCTAGGCCTTGTTCTTTTGTTGTTTACATTGTGGTTATTAATTTTTTTATCTCCAAGATCTGGAGTCTGACAAATCTGGAGTGCAACAATACTGGCTACAAATCAAATATTAAAAAGAAAAAACACACTAAACAAAAATTAGTTGTTAAAATGTACTTGTTACAATTCAAATGCATGACAAAGTACATGACATTATATTGCTGTTTAAGATTTGCCCTGTGTATTGTTGTACGAGATTGGCAAGGTAGCCATTGAATTTCTACTTTTTTCAGAAAAAAGGCAGCAGACATGATTTTGCTCCTTGAATCTGTTCAGTTTGAATTATATGTTAGCTTGTCCAACAAAGCGTGGATAAGCAACTTGTGTATTAGTATTTAAGGATTCTCAAGTTTAAAAAAAGGAAAATACTATATGTTAAAGAAGGGCAGTTGGTAAATGTTGCCTACCAAAAGAGCAGATATTTAGCAAAAACATGCTTTGTTGGATAGATTAGATTGAACATTTATTTTATGCAAGTTTTTATGTTGTCCAGGAAGACAACTGAATTATATTGAATCTTTATTATAAGTTTCATGCTGTCCAGAAAGACAACAGAATTATCATTTTTATGGTCCAAATAGACCATTGTTTATTTACTAACCAAAGTTCTCCTTTGTTCCAGTTGAAAAATCTGATGGTGGTAGGTGTCGATACTTATCACGATTCAGCTAAGAAAGGCCGATCTGTAGGGGGCGTGATCTGCTCCTTAAACAAAACTCTTACTCGCTATTATTCACGTACAACATTCCAACATACTGGAGAGGAGCTAATCAATGGATTAGTCACATCACTCAGAGGTAAGTTCAGAAGTAATCAAGTTAATTATATGTAGGTTGGAAAGTCCTGGCAGTGTTGTAAATATCCAATAAGGTTGGTAAGTAATTATGGTTTAGGAAGTGGAATTCATGCCATTTTTAATTATATTCAAAAATATTTTCTGAACAAATATGTCTTTGTGTAATGATAAATTTCATATTGAGCTAAAATATTAACATGAAAAAAAATTTCCTGAATAATCAATAATGCATGCAGATGAGAGTAACATTGAAAGTACAGTGGATTCCATTTAATCGGATAGCGGTTAAACGAATATTTCGGCTAATCTGATACAATATCAGAGCACAAAACCACTTCTTATATATTTATTAATAATTTCACCTGATATTCTGATAGGAAATTATCGGATTTTCGTTTTATCTGATACAAAAATTTCACCTATCATAGTGATTTTCATAATAATTGTCTTGTTCACACCTCTACCTTCCGTATGTAAATCCTTTGTTTACACAAGTTTGACACTTCCAGTCAAATTACGACAATGAGGGGGTTAGTCACGGCTGAACGCACGCCAGCACCTTACCTGTGTTAGCAGTGGGCACAGTAGATCAATATGTTTTGATAACAATAGTCATGACCGGCTTGGGTGTTAATTTTGATAATTGATAATTGGCTTGTGTACAATTTTGTTCCGTGTGAAATTTTAATTATTGAACTGTTCAGTCTGTGTATGACACTTCGCTTGGACATCAAATTAAAATTATCAGAATTATGGCCGGTTGCGTACCTTTGGTTCAGATAAGTACAGCTCAATGGTTGATCCGTGGATCACGTAAGCCGGGTTTAAACCCCAGTTGAGTCGGGTTTACCTGAGTCGCATTTCTGTTGCAAGCTATAAAACTGAGTAAGGTTTACCTAATCTTAACATACTCGTATAAAATGTTGAAGGATAATAGGTTTCCTAATATTACAGCACTTTAAAACAAGTTTTAATACTAGTAACTGGTTGAAAATTAAAAGGATATATTTAGAAACAATGATATATATCGATGTTAAATTGTAAATTGTTAGTGCTGAAAAAATGCAATACAATTTACATGATTTAATTCAAATCATGGCATCTTTCATCGAAACTCAAACCATAAGAAAATATAAAAACGCAAACAGAATACAGCTTTTGCAAAAGACTGAAGAGAAGAAAACAAGGATGTGGTCTTTGGAATAAGTAATTTAGAAACAAAATCAAAACACAATACATGTATATAGGTAAATGATACAGGGAAAATGAATAAATTTAGATTTTTAGTTTAAATTCAAATGAAAAAAAAAACTTTATAAGACATTATTTTTTTGAAAACACTTATTATTATCTATGTTTTCTATAGAATTTTATACACCGGCAAAATTATAGGGGACGAACATACCCTCCTCCTCCTTGCCCGGTTCCTCCGATCCGGCCCTGTCGATAGCCCGATTTACTGAAAACTGAAAGACTTTTTATCCTCATAAAATTCGGCAGTATTATAAATTATTGGAATGTGTATCATCAGCTGTTCAAAAGTGTAAAATTCGTAATTTGATTTAAATTTGGTATGTTAGAAAGTTTCTATAAAATTCCTGTTTATGTACATTTATGCATTTTAATTAAAAGTATCCTCCAAAACTTTATACTACAGCTATATCAGTGTTAAAACGGCACATTGAAAAGTTGTTGAAGAGGTCTGCAAAAAGAAAAATCCTCATGCAACATGGCCAAAAAAATATTTTGTAGAATAGCTTTTTTGATACTGCAAAATATATCAATGCAATCATAATTGCCATAAAACATTTCTGCAACATCGAAATATTTCAAAATATCGAAATATTCTACCCAAAAATACCTGGAAACCTTGTAAAGCTTGATTTAAACCACCTCTACACCAGGTTCAGAATTTACCGTAATTCTGAGCCGTACTCAGCCAATCCTTACATGTGTGCAACGCGAAAACTTGGATTTAAACCCGGAATCATTGATCGTAGGTTTAAATCTGAGATACGCAACCGGCCATTAGACTGTCTATTAAATGGTAGCGCTTGGTCATTTAGTTGAATATGTGTTCACTTTTAAGTGCAATTTTAAGAATTAAAATCACATGCACCCCATATAATTATACGTTCTCAGTTGTAGTGCTTGAAATCTTGTATGCTTGACAATATGTTTATGCTCTATTATGTGCTTGAAAATGACAAACAAATACAAATAAAGACGAAACAATAAAAAAATTTTTATTTAATAATCAGCAATCCGGAAAAAAATGGTTTAATATAATATAGTCATGTATTCAATCAACTTCCGTTTTCCAAAATGGAGGCCATTAACGAATGGGATGAATGTAAACAGGTGCCTGGTGCTAAATAAATATATAAAGATGAAAATAAGTTTCATACTTCAATTTAAAACAAATTATTCATACAAAATCTATTGAACTTGTTATTTAATTACTTGAAATAATTCATTTCCTGACTTGGTACATTCATCAATCGAAAACGAAATTACAGGTACGTAATACAACCAAGTTGAAATTGTTATTTATGTACTGTAGATCTGCCGTTTGTATGGCAAATTTTGCAATCGGCTATTCCAATATTCGGCTATACGGATAAAACTATTCTGACAACCTGACTATCCGTTTAAACGGGACCCACTGTATTCCATTATTTAGATGATATTGGTTTTATTTTTTGAAAAAAAAAATCTTAATTAATTAGATGAAACTGATTTACTTAAAAGTATAAAATAGTTTTTTAAAAAAAATGATTTTAAGTGTATTAAATTGCATTCTTGAGATTTAATCAGTGTGTTATAAATTTTAGGGGCATTGGAGAAATATCATGAGGTGAATGGTGCCCTGCCTGAGAGGATCATTGTATTCCGTGACGGAGTGGGTGACGGGCAGCTGAGGGCGGTGTACGAACACGAGGTACCACAGCTCAACGAGTGCTTCAAGAGAAGTGGTGGACAAGATTACAAGTAAGAACTGTGTCAACTGCTATAGGGTCTATCTCTGTATCAAATTCAATTCAGCTCTGTAATGCTTTATTGTGTCTTAAGAAGGAGCCAGATGCTGATTCACCCTTTGCTTGTTTACTTCTGCAGATAAAAGGAACCTTAAGTTTTCAATAATGAATAAAATGATAGTTGTCAATCAAATGATAAAATTAATGACTCATTAAACTTGGAATTTGTGGTAATACGTGATATATACATTTAATTTGATTTTGTAGTCCCAAGGTAGCAGTGGTGGTTGTAAAGAAGAGAATCAACACAAGGTTCTTTGCCAAGTCTGGTCCATCTCTGACCAATCCCCCACCAGGAACTATTGTGGACACCCAGGTCACCAAACCCATCTGGTCAGTACTGATTAAGCATAGGAAGTCTCCATTGTTAATTTAAAATATTACAACTTCAAAACATTGAAAGAAAAGAAAGTGAGATTAATAAAGTGAGCTTTAGGCTTCAGTAGTAATAAAATACACACGAAAATTGCAGTAGACAAAAGGCCACACAAAAAAAACCGGTTTAAGTTCACTAATAGAGAGCTAAGTTGATTAATAGAGTTTTGATGAAGAGCGCATATTGGAAAAGCACCTTCAATTGTACAAATAGGAGGAAAATCATTTTAAAATACAACCCTGGCTTCAAGTTGCATGTTTTGCAAGACTTTGGTCAGGGTCACCAAGTCATGATCATTGAAGAATGGATTTTCCATCTTTCCAAAGCAAGAACAGAGGATTGGAAAATAAATTTGGTTAATTGTAATGGACAGGTGTGTTCGGAACAGGCTGTGTAGATTGATGAAGATGGGGATATTAATGGCACTCTTTGTGTTTTAGGTACGACTTCTTCCTGGTGTCTCAGTCGGTCAGACAGGGTACAGTGACCCCCACCCACTACAACGTGATCTGGGATTCAACGGGCCTCAAACCGGACCATATGCAAAGACTTGCGTATAAAATGACGCACTTGTATTATAATTGGCCGGTAAGTCCCATAAACAATAATTATCAGCCTCTCTGTTTAGTCATTCTTTGAACATTTCTATTCTTGCACCACTATGTAAAATGGAACTTTTTTCATTCACTGTTAGGAATAAATCTTTATTGTAAATTCAAAATTTATATTAATGATGTTATAATTTTTGTGATAGGGGACCATCCGTGTACCAGCACCGTGTCAGTACGCCCACAAGCTGGCTTTCTTGGTGGGACAGTCAATTCACAAGGACCCTCACATGTCACTGTCAGATCGTCTGTACTTCCTGTAAGCTTGTAAGTTCAGCACATGATCAATTGTTGAATTGATCTAATGGAAGATCATGAATCCAGGGTAGAGTGACAAGAAAGGTTGTTGACTGTTGCGACGAAAAGTCATAAACGGAGGTGTAAGCAATGAAAGTAGTGTAGACAAAAGTGATATAGAGTGAAGAACAGTTAAGTGCAATTCCGATGGAAGAAGATAGACAGACGAGGATGGAAGGATAAAGAACTTCCTCTTCCAAGGAAAAGAAGACTGGATATTGATCAAGAAGATATATTTCTGAAATCAAAACATACCTCAAATATATTACATGTACCATTATGTGTTCATAAATTTTAGTTTTTACCTATGTAGAAGTAGATGCCATGTATATGTAGTATGTTTTGTTTTACTTGATTATGCAGGAGAGATTTAACCACTGTTATCGTGAATGTTAATCCTTATGATGGTTTGGTGCTTGCCCATATGGACAGTAGCATGTTACCGTTAGTAGGAAAAGATAATAATTTTTAAGCTTTGATTTTATGCAAGTCGTAATATTTTTTGTTCCAAATGTCCAATTTTTGCTTTTTGAATGGAGAAAAAAAAACATACAAAGTGTAAAGTAAATAGCTAACACATCAAAAAAATCATTGGCATTATTTCATGTGTCATTTTTCATAGGGCGAATCAGATGTGCAATGTTTGACGGATATATTTTTTTTATTGTTCTTCAATAAAAAGTTAAGTTCTTCCTGTGTGTTAGTTATAATAAAAACCAAACACTTGTGGGCCGAAGAATCATTTATATTAATTAACATTATGGAAATTTATGTCTAATATGATATAAATTTTTTAGGCAAGTCCATTCCCAAGTAATAATATATAAATATTGCATGTAGTTGAGTGTAACATTGAAAATTTTCACCCGAAGAAAACCATCGTCAACCGAGGTGCAGCCGAGGTTGACGATGGTTTTCTTCGGGTGAAAATTTTCAATGTTACTCTCAACTACATGCAATATTTATTATATTATACTGAATGTTTTATACAAATACGCTATAGTGAACCGTGCACGCATAAATTCCGTGCCGTTTAAAATTTATACATCTTCATGTTTATTGAAATAGGCCTACAGGATGGAGAAGTCCCTTCTGAAGTACATTGTACATATCATTACATTGAATAAAGTTAAACTCTCTGCTCCTCAGATAAGAGGGTTTCCATGCATTTATTTCAAAGATAATGAAAAGGGGGTTGTCATGGTGTCTAGCCGTCTTCACTATACATTGGAGGTTATTCCGCTCGTGGAAAGGCTCGAGAAGTCTGATTGGGGATACAACATCTGGGGATGCTGGTTCTGACCTATATTTTCCAGATGAGTGGTTGGCAAACAAAGCAATTGGACATGACAGCAATGTAAATATACATAGCTTTTGAAAATGAGAATGGTAGACCTTTCATATTTCACATGTGAATTACCTGTGACAAGATCTTTCAGATTACAGAGTTGAACCCTTGACTTGAAGAGATGGGGCTTTCTTATTAAAGATGTGGGTTACCTGTTGCGAGGCCTTTCAAATACAATGTTTTTTTAGCTCACCTGAGCCGAAGGCTGATCACGTGTCCGACGTCCGTCTGTAAACTTTTCACATTTTCGACTTCATCTCAAGAATTACTGGGCCAATTTTGACCAAACTTGGTACAAAGCATCCTTGGGTGATGGGGAATTCAAGTTGTTAAAATGAAGGGCAAAACAAGGGGAGATAATCAAGAAAAGACAAAAATAGGGTGGGTTCATTAAAAAATCTCAAGAACCACTGGGCCAGAAAAGCTGAAACTTATGTGGAAGCATCCTAGGGTAGTGTAGATTCTAAATTGTTCAAATCATGACCCCCAGGGATTGGGTGGGGCAACAATGGGGAATCAAAGTTTTACATAGAAATATATAGGAAAAATCTTTGAAAATCTTCTCAAGAACCACTGGGCCAGAAAAACTGAAACTTATGTGGAAGCATCCTGGGGTAGTGTAGATTCTTAATTTTTAAAATCATGACCCCCGGGGGTAGGGCGAGGCCACAATGGGGAATCAATGTTTTACATAGAAATATATAGGAAAAAACTTTTAAAATCTTCTTCTCAAGAACCACTGGGCCAGAAAAGCTGAAACTTATGTGGAAGCATCTTTGGGTAGTGTAAATTCTAAATTGTACAAATCATGACCCCGGGGGTAGGGCGGGGCGACAATGAGGAATCAAAGTTTTACATAGAAATGTATAGGAAAAATCTTTGAAAATCTTCTTGATAACCACTGGGCCAGAAAAAACTGAAACTTATGTGAATGCATTCCTTGGGTAGTGTAGATAATAAATTGTTCAAATCATGACCCCCCCCCCCCGGGGTAGGGCAATGGGGAATCAAAGTTTTACACAAAAGTATATAGGAAAAATCTTTGAAAACCTTCTTAATAACCATTGGGCCAGAAAAGCTGAAACTTTATGGAAGCATCCAAGGGTAGTGTAGATTCTAAATCGTTAAAATCATGACCCCTGGGGGTAGGGCGGGTCCACAATTGGGAATCAAAGTTTTACAAAGAAATATATAGGAAAAATTTTTGAAAATCTTCTTCTCAAGAACCACTGGGCCAGAAAAACTGAAACTTATGTGGAAGCATCCTGGGGAAGTGTAGATTCTAAATTGTTCTAATCATGACCCCCAATGGTAGGGTGGGGCCACGTTTTTAATAAAGAATGGCCCTATTCGGTATAATAAAAATACATATTATACCGAATAGGACCATTCTTTAAACGTGAGAAAAAGTACAATCTGCTTGCATATAACGATAAATTGATGCGTTTGATGGGGAAATTTTATATTTTCGAGGTATTATACACTCTTACATATTTTTTTCATAAAAAAGAGGGGGGGGGGGGGGGGGTATTATCCATACTTAAGGTGCCTGTGGTATTTTGTACAATAACCGCAGCTACTGTGACGACATATGATTTATAATACTAACTTCATGTACCCCCATCAATGTATTGGCACGGTTCCAAAAAAAAAAAACGTGCAGGGCGGAAAAACAGCTAGACAGAAGCAGGGCTTGGAGCACGTGGATTTGCGGAATCATGTAAATAGGCCTACTAGTGTAAGGAATAATTAACTGTCAAAATTTTTCATGACGATGATCAATCGAATGGCTTGCGTGATAATTTTATGCATATGAAATCAAAAAATAAGACAGTTATTCCTTAAATATACACTGATATTGATCCATGACTTTAAAATAGGCCTTCTTTCAAAAAAAAATTTCTTTCTTTATAATTTTTGAAAGAAATACGTTAGGACATTCATATTTGATGTGTAATGCTTGTAATAAGAGGATTCTGAGCATGCTATAATTTTGTGTTCCCCTTGACCTTCATGTTTGACCTAATTTTCAGAAAGATTATCTTTGGTGATTTTTTTTTTTTTTTTTTTTTTTTGCATGTCATGATAGGGCGATTATATTTGACACAATAGTGCCTGAATAATGAGAGGGTGCTACCCCCTTTTGTGTCCTAAATATTCGTAAGTTTTAGTAAATTTAAGATTTTTTTGTGTGGTTGTAAGGTGTCGTGGACCTGGCGCTACGAAGGACTATACATTTATAAGATACATATTCGGTTTTACGGCAACAAAGAAAGTGGGCGATTTGGCAAATCAAACAGTACCAGGTTTAAAGGACGACTTGAACAAAATGATATACTGACACCCCCCCCCCCTTTCTCCCGCGCATTTTTAGGACCTAATCGCGTTTTACGTCGGTTGATAATTAGGGTACCTGTAAACTGCGAAACAAAGCGATACCAATTGAAACGAAACGAAACTAAAATGAAATTTTTAAAATGAAGGGGCTGGCCGTTTCAGGAAAGCACGACCGAGCAGCTACAGACCTACAGTCTTGTTATACCCCCCGCTTGAAAAGCGAGAGGGTATATAGTAATCGTTAATTCCGTCCATCTGTACGGCTGTCCGTCCGTCCGTCTGTCTGTCCGTCCGTCCGTCTGTTACGCTTTGGGGTACCCATCTCTTATCCGCAACTCCTCTCATACCACTGAAGGAAATTTAATGAAACTTTCACATAATCTTTATTACATATTGCCATTGTGCACCTCCTATTTTACTTTTTGATCCGACACATATTTTGGGTTTCCCAGCCTGAGGAAAACATGGACTTTTACACCAGTTATAACCATATGGGAGGCGGGGGGTATCATTAAGTGAGCTCATCGCTCACAGTACCTCTAGTTGTTAATGTTATGTTTTAAATTTTGAATTTACCGGGTGGGAGTAAATACAAAAATTTTGTATTTACTACTCACCCAGTAAATTAAAATTGAAAACATAACATATCAGGCACGTAGCATGGTGTTGGAAAGTGTGGGGGGGGGGGGGCAACCAGAGAAATTTTTTTTTTACTTAGCTGTAAAAGTTGACAAGCCGAAAAAAGGAAATTGCCCAAACTCAATATCGCTACACTGTGGTAAGAAGTGGGGGTGGGGGCAAACAACCTTTCAATGGACATTTTCAATAGTAAACGGTAATTTGAGGGGGAGTGGGGCAGCTCCCCCCTTCTGTTGCTACGTGCCTGCATATAGGTCTCTTGATTATACCCCCTGCTTGAAAAGCGGGAGGGTATATAGTTATCGTTAATTCCGTCCTTCTGTCTGTACGTCCGTCCGTCCTTCCGTCCGTCTGTTACGCTTTGGGGTACCCATCTCTTATCCGCAACTCCTCTCATACCACTGAATGAAATTTGATGAAACTTTCACAGAATCTTTATTACATATTGTCATTGTGCACCTCCTATTTTACTTTTTGATCTGACACATATTTTGGGTTTCCGAGCTACAGCAAAACATGGACTTTTTCACCAGTTATAACCATATGGAAGACGGGGGGTATCATTTAAAGAGCTCATCGCTCACAGTACCTCTAGTTATTATACCCCCCCCCGCTTGAAAAGCGGGAGGGTATATAGTAATCGTTAATTCCGTCCGTCCGTCCGTCCGTCTGTACGTCCGTCCGTCCGTCCGTCTGTCTGTCTGTCTGTCTGTCCGTCCGTCTGTTACGCTTTGGGGTACCCATCTCTTATCCGTAACTCCTCTCATACCACTGAATGAAATTTGATGAAACTTTCACAGAATCTTTATTACATATTGCCATTGTGCACCTCCTATTTTACTTTTTGATCCGACAGGAAAACATGGACTTTTTCACCACTTATAACCATAGGGGAGGCGGGGGGTATCATTTAGAGAGCTCATCGCTCACAGTACCTCTAGTTTTAATATACTTAACTGAACTGAATACATGTAATAAATTAATTAGTTTTGCACGCTTTTTTTGGGGGGGGGGATAAGGATAGTCCAATATATATGTACTAAACTAGCCCGGCCCTGTCAAAGTCTATAAATTAAAATCGTATAACTTTTTCCATTGTAACATCGCAAATTTAAGACATCTGCTTTATTATACCCCCCGCTTGAAAAGCGGGAGAGTATATAGTAATCGTTAATTCCGTCCGTCCGTCTGTTACGCTTTGGGGTACCCATCTCTTATCCGCAACTCCTCTCATACCACTGAGAGAAATTTGATGAAACTTTCACAGAATCTTTATTACATATTGCCATTGTGCACCTCCTATTTTGCTTTTTGATCCGACACATATTTTGGGTTTCCCACAGGAAAACATGGACTTTTTCACCAGTT